GGGCAGGGCGGCGCGTGGGCCGCAGGGCAGGGCGGCGCGCAGGCTGCAGGGCAGGGCGGCGCACGGGCTTCAGTGCAGGGCAGCGTGCAGGCAGAGCGCAGGGCAGGGCAGAGCGCGAGCAGGGCAGCGTGCGGGTCGTGTGCTAGGCACCAAGTGGGCAGCGCGACGGGCAGGGCAGAGCGCGTGGGGCAGCGCAGGCAGGGCAGCGTGTGGAACGCTGTTCGAGAAAGGCAGTTCGGACAATTCGGGCACTTTGGGCAGGTCTAAACTAGCAGTGGGCCCTAACGGAGCGGTCTTATGTGTTGGGCTGAGAAAAGCCCTTAGGATCTTTGCAAGGCTAAACTCTGGGTAGGAATGTTGTAGTTGCGGAAGCGTTTAATAACAAGTGTTGAACCACCTTGCGCTAGTATGTGAGGGCAAGATAGAGTAATTATAAGGAAGTAATACAGGCCTTTTATAAGATTACAAGGAATATGAAAATGGTGTAACTAATAACTGTTTTAATCTTGCTGTTGCGGTTCGATACAGTGACGACTCGGGCAACTGCTTAGTATCGAGTCAGTTGTTTGTCCTTGCTATCGCGCTGTATTTGTGGAGTCAGTTGTTTGTCCTTGCTGTCGCGCTGTATTTGTCGAGTCAAAGGTCAGCGACCTTTGACCTTCGCGTAACCTCCAGCGGTTACATTTTCTATCAACCTCCGATGGTTGACTGGCCGTTGCTGCGTTGTAATTCGCTTCAGTTGCAATTCGGTGTTTCGACACATCAGAAGCGTTTAAGTCACTTTGTTTCCAACACTACGGAGGATGGACCCGCTCTAAATACCATGTCAGAACAGAACGTAGGAATGGTGGACTAGGTAGCAAGGATGAGTACAAGTAGTACCTAACCCTTAAGTGTTGTACCCCTTAGAATATGCCCCACTACAGCCTAGAGATAACAAAAGAAATTTGACACCCACAAGCAGCCCAGCACATGAGACTGCACACCAGGGGTTTTTTTATCAGTGTAATTTACTCTGTTTCTCTGAAAATCAGAGTGGTTTTTAGGGGGGCACTCTGTACCTGCTGGGTAAATTTTTTTAGAGTTACTTGTTCTCTGATCTGCCAAGGTTTTTGTGTAAGTTCACTCTGGAGCGCCAGTGTTCCTTTCTCGAATAGTGAGTTTACTCTGAACGGGGGATACATGTACCCCCCCGACCCCCCTAGGTCCCCCTTATCCCCACGATGCCGGTTTGGACCGGAGCGCAGGGGATATCAGTGTTGTTTCGCCCGTGTGTTGGCACAACCTGAGGTGCCGATTGGCCGGAATGGCATATTTCGTGCCAGCGCACTCAACTGGCCACCCAGTGGATACATCGCTGGCTTTGCGTACCCCATCAGCAATGAACAACTTCAACTTTTGGGCATGATACGTCAGCTTCCTGTGGTGCACTGAATTCGTGCGCGGCGCGCACATCCACACCTGTTGCTCGGCAGGCATACGGGGTCACCACCCAACCCCATCCTTTCTGAGCCATTATGTTTTTTCCACCCAGCACTGCTCTTCAACGTTCCAGTCTAGCGAGTGTTCCGAGGGCTTCTCCAGCCACAGACCCGCCTCCCTAACCTTTTTTTTTGTCCGTCAATATCATGGATACTAGCGACGCCGAGGGAGACGCGGCTGATCCCGACGACAGGCCGACATGTATCACACCCCCTGCGACAGGGCTTCAGTTTCTCCGCGCTGTGCATGCAGATAACGCTCGCGATGAGGAGGAGCTGGCCGATGGCGGTACCAAATGGATGCGCCGTCCTGGCAAGGAAAGTGGCGGCATGGAAGATGCGTACGACAATTGGTGTCCTTCTCCGCGCCCGATGAATGACGCTGCTGAGTCCGACGGTGTTGAGGAGTGGATCGCCTCGCCGCGAAACGAGGTTGCTGCAGAGGCGGCCGAATTGGTTGCAACGCAGGTCGTCGATGCGGCCACTCCTGAGTCATCCTGTTCAGTCGCTTCGAAGAAGCGACGGTACACGCAGCAGGTTTTGCAGTGGGGAACACCGCCTCCGAAGCCCGACGCTCCACCTCCCCCTGCTGCCCCACCCCCCATTCTTCCCCTTACAGACGAGGAGAAGAAGGAGAAGGCGTACCTGAAGGCGCAGAAGAGCTACAAGTCTGATTGGCTGCCGAAGTTCGACTGGCTGATTCTGGACAAGACGCCAGAGGGTGACCCGTGCCTGCGCTGCAGTGTCTCCATGGAGCACGGGAGGGACAACGCGCGTTACGGTCGCAATGGCGCTGGCGGTCGTGATCTGCAGATCGGGTCGATGCGGTGGCACGAGAACAGCGCGAAGCACGAGGACGCCATGAAAAAGCAAGCAAACCTTCTGCAGAAGATCGTGGACCAGAAGAAGATTGAAGACTTCGCGAATGGAGATCCGGAAGGCTGTCGCGTCGCGGTACTCATGCGCGCCATGCGTTTTGTGTGCCGTACCGACACACCCATCCACATGTACCCACAGGTTGTGCGGCTTCTCGCAGAGGAGGGGGTCGCCAACATTCCGCAACAAAGCTATGGAGTGTACATCACGCAGTAAGTTGCTGTTGACTGGTTTTTATTCGATGCAACCGTCTTTGTTTAACGAGGCTAATGCGTTGTGCTATGTGAATGCGCAGGTACGGTTTCTACGAGATGGCCAAGGCTCTTACCGCATATCTGACCAGGGAGCAATTGCGCGTCCTCCACGCCTCGCCCTTCATCGGCCTCATGTGCGACGAGAGTACCGATCGCGCCCGTGGCAAACACATGATTGTGTTTGTCACGTTCCTCAAGAACAGCGTGGTTGTAACCGAGTTCCTCGCGTTACTAACCGTGCAGCAATGTGATGCGGCATCGCTCATGGGCGCACTGCTCCAGCATCTCGAGACGGTGGGCGTCGACCTGAAGAAGATTTCCGGAATGTCCACGGACGGCGCGGCAGTGATGATCGGGGGCACGTCCGGCGTTGTCACGCGACTGCGCGTCCACGTCCCCCACCTCGTCGGCTGCCACTGCATTGCGCATCGGTACTTGTGTCGTGGCTGATAATTTTAAATGTCCGGTTTTACGTTAGTCGATCGTTAAAGTAATTTAACAATCCTTTTCTGCTCACCCCACTATTGCTTGCAGCGAAGCACTTGCTGTGAAGGAGATGGCCGAAGCCGAGCAGTTCCAAGATTTTCGGATGGTAGACAAGGCCATCCGTGCAGTGGGCGAGATCGTGAGGAGATCCACGCCGTGGTACGAGCGGTTCAAAGAGCTCCAGATCGTGATCCACAGCACCAACCTCGAGCACCAGGGACTGTTCGACGTGCGTTGGCTCTCGCGTGCCGATGCGGTCAACCGGCTTGTCAAGATTCTGGGGTCGGCAATCGTGCTCTTTATGGAGTACAAGCACAAGATCGCGTCGGTTGTGAAGACCCTGAAATTCCACTTCTGTCTGTATTTCCTGGCAGACATTTTGGGGGAGTTGAACACCCTCAACCGTTTCTTCCAACGACGCAAGGTAAAACATGTTCGAAAGGATTGTTGATACACGCGTTTAGCGTTGTTTAAATTTCATTTGCCCACACACACTAACAAACATTTTTGCGCACATGTCGTTGCGTCAGGTGGAGGTGACGCAAGTCACAGAGGAGGTCGACCGTGTGGTGTCCCTCATCGAGCACCGCTACATCGACTACGATGGTGGTTTTGGGGCGGGTCTGAGCCCCTTCCTGTCTCCATTCATGGCACGTGTCAAGAGAGGGGACAACATGGTGAAGGTGGACGGCGTGGACGCTAGCGGCATACCCGTCAAGCACACCTTCGAGCTCAGCGAGTTGGCGGACAAGAAGCACACGTTCGGCGGGACGCTTGCAGATTGCGTGAAGTTGGGCAAGGCCTTCGCCCGCGAGGTCGTGTACAACCTGAAGCACCGCATGCGAGATCTTCGTCGAATGGGCGGCTTGAAGCTTTTCAGGGTGGACAAGTGGCCAGCGAATCCGGACACGCGTGTGAGACGTTGTGCCACGTGGCTCCGCAAGAACTCTAAACTCTTCAACCACCAGCTGCCAGGTAAGTGTATATCTTTTCGATCGTGTATGTGTGCTTTCCCTGAAATAATGCCTCTCGTCACTGTGTACCTAACATTTCCGTACATAAAAAACGTTGTGCTGCGCTTACTGTTTTGCCAGGATTCGAACTGCGGGCAGCCGAACTTGAGCTCAAAACTTTCTGCCACGTCATGAAGACGCACCACGAGGACGAGGACTTCTACCAGGCGCTGACGAACATGCTGAGGTCACGCGACTGGCGCCGAACTTACCCCAACATCATGACCCTGTGGCAGGCGTTGGCCGTCCTGCCACTCAGCACCGTCGAATGTGAGCGTGGATTTTCACGACAGAACATCATCAAGAGCTGGCAGCGCACGGCTCTCAACGACACGCGGCTCACCGAACTCATGAGCATCCACATGCTCGATTACAACGTGGAGTGGCCAGATGTCGTGGACATCTGGCGCAAGCAGAAGAAGAGGCGGCCTACAAAATCCCCTGCACCCTTCCAACCAGCCAATGACAAGGGCGGGCCAGAGGCCAGTTCGGACGACGAACGGGAGGATGACGTGGCTTAAGATGCGATAGCTAGTGGTAGTAGGTCATTGTGTACAAAGTTTAAAAAATTCAATAATTCTGGCAATGCAACTGCAATAGCAAACACTGGGTAACCACCAGGGTTACAGATGAAAGTTACTCTGAAGTAACAGAGTTTTTAAATTGACAGCACATGTTACACTGACATTTAAGAGCAACGCTCGCCAGCCACTCTGGATTTAAGGGTTACGCCAAAAACGCCTCTGGAAACAAGAGTGCTCCAAAACCAAAAAAAAGCCCTGCTGCACACTTCTGAGGCAAGACTTGGTTGTTACCGTAAGTGCTCCAGGGGAAAGTCAGGCTCAGGGCCCAAAATCGGTATAGGCCTACCCTTACGAATCAGTCAGGCTCTACAGGCAAGCGACAGCCAGCAGGGCGGCGGAGGTGGCAAGGACAAGAGCAGCTGAGAGTGCTGCGGGGAGTAAGGAGAGGGAGAGGGTGGCCCCATCAGAAACAGGCGAGGGTGGTGGAGGCGGGGAGGGTGGCAGCTGCAGAGGCTCAGCTCCACCTGTTGGGATGAAGGGGAAGTGAGGGGAGAGGAGAGGAGAGGAGAGGAGAGGACAAGGGATGGAGGGAGGGGAGGGGAGGGAAGGACAGGGGGTTCGTGTCAGAAAAGGGAAGTAGAGCAAGGCGCAAATGACAGAAGAGGATCAAAAGTTCGTGTCAAGGGCAGCGGTGGCAGAGGCTGGAAGGAGAGAGCGCTTTCCAGAGGCCTTGCGTGCGATCTGGCAGACCGGACATAATCACTTGGTGTTTCTGTGGTGGAAATGCAATATTTTTTACAGAAAGTGAAAGATTTTGCCTGCTTGAATGACCACAGCAGCAACAGCTACAGGTGGAGGACAGAGAAACTCCGCAGCAAGCTGTTTTGATCATTATGTGAAGGGCAGGCAGGCGATGTGGGCAGGGTAAGCAGCAGCTTACAGTGAGGGGAATACATCCATCCTGCGTACTGATTGGTGTAGTCCAGAAGGAGGTACCTGCCGAGCAGCCCCGGCTCTGCTCAGCAGCCCGGCACCACATGCACCGACATAAGTGGAGGGAAGTGAGAGAAGAGAGTGATGTTGGCAGCAGGGAAGCGGGAAGAGCAGACGCAAAGGGGCAATGGTGTAACCATGAGGCATCAAGAGGCAGAGAGCGAAAGGGGCAGAGATGATTCCATGGCTAATCCGGCCATGCTTGTGGGCTTCAGGTGGAATTTAGTTAGGCACATGCAGTGGAGCTGGCGAGTGCTTGATCAAATCTCCACCTTGCAGGATTACTGGTGAGAATCCCTGAAAGATAATGTAAGAGCATAGAAGCCATGCTTGCCTTGCCCATCTAAACAAGCTTGTATCGGCTCGTCGGCTGCAGGCGGCTGGTAGGTGTGTTGTGAGGAGTGAATGGTGGCAGACGATGGGCAGCACAGCACGGCACAGCAGCAGGTCGGTGGGGACAGGGGACAGGGGAAGGAAGGTGCTGGCAGAAGCTCAGGTGGAGAAACGAATGGAAGCGTGCGTTAGGTAATCCTCTTACCTCCAATGAAGCTGTTGTAGTAGCTTCCAGGATCAAGAGAGTTGACCAACATGTAGTACTCGGAAGGTGAAACCTGTGGGGGCAGCATACCATACCATAGAGAAGAGAGCTGACAAGTGGCATGGGGGAGTCTCGTCTCATTCAGCCAAGCGGCATCAAATGAGCAAGTCACTGAGTGAGCAAGTCACTGAGTGAGCAAGTCACTGAGTGAGCAAGTCACTGAGTGAGCAAGTCACTGAGTGAGCAAGTCACTGAGTGAGCAAGTCACTGAGTGAGCAAGTCAGAAACTCAGGGGGCTCATCTAGATCTCTGGCAGCGCGACTGGGGCTAAGGAGGGCTGACATGGCATGGACGAGTGGAGCATGGGGGGCAAGGGAATGGGACTGACCCCACAATGTGGAAGAGAGTTGAGGTGAGGGGGAATCGAAGAAGGGAGAGGAGATGGTAGTGGGGGGGAAATGAGGAGGGGGGAGAGGAGAGGGGCGAGACCAGGAGAGAGGGAGGGAAGAGGAGGAGAGAGGAGATGAGAGAGAGGGGGAGAGAGGGGAGAGGGGAGATGGGAGAGGGGGGATGGGAGAGGGGAGAGGGGGGTTGTGCAAGGTACTGCAAGGAGAAATGGCCGTGTTCACCTGAGCGAGGTACTCACGAGGCTTGAGATAGTAGTGGGCGGTGCGACTGGTGTTCATAATAAAGGGGAAAGCAATGTCGATGGTGGGGAAGGCCGTGAACGGATCCACCGCTGTGTTGTTGTTCCTGCAAAGTGAGAGAGAGAGCATGGTTGTTGTTGTAACAGGGTAAAGCAGTCCATGATTTTCGATTGTTTGACAAACAGCAGCAGCCCCCATGTGTGTGTGAGAGCACGAGCACCTGAGAGCTGAGCACTGACCCCGTGTGGATGGATACGATGCGATGCAAGCTCCAGCATGCGCTGACCAGAGCTGATACAGAGTTCGATTCGAGTGCACAGCGACGCACAGGCGATACCACATGACTTGGGTACCATTCTTTTCCATGCCCACGCACGCCCAACACCTCATCTCCCTCTGACAGGCTCCCAGGTGGATTAATGGTTCACAGACCAAAAGGCATGCCAGAACTGAACGGATTATGTCGCCTTCTTTCCTTTCTGGCAATGCAAACTGCCGTTGTCTAACCCCACCTGCCGTTGTCTAACCCCACCTGTCGTGCTTTGGGTTGGGTTGCAGCAGGTGATGTATTCGGCACGTATGTAGCAAGAATTATGGAGATACCTTGATCAAATCTGAGGATCAATGTCAGATTTATAGCGGGTGACCAAGCTTTGATGAAAAGTTACCAAACGCAGCGAATAAAAGAAAATACTCTACGTGAGGCTCCCAGAGAGGTAGAAACAGTGCGGCTCACCTTGCAGTCAGCCAATCGCAGCATGTCCTCAAGGTTCCATTCGCGTGAAGGAGAATCAAGGATGGTTTGAGGGGGAGCAGGGAGGGAGCAGCGACGTTGTGCACGGACGGACGGAGGTGACACTTGGGGTTGGTTGGGGGAGGGGAACCAAGCTCAGCTCAAAAACTCACTTGAAGCATGGAATCCCCAAGTAATTCATAGTCTTCGTCGCTCTACAAAGGTCATGCCCAGTCATGTCTCGGATCTGCAAACGTTCACATGCACATGCACATGCACACAAAGAGACAAGAGCAGCTTTCACAATCAAAATGTTGTCACCTTCTTTCCGTGGTCTACACAGCAAGCACCAGATGCAGGGCAATGAGAGATATTGTGAATAATCTGACCTGTGCTTCAAAACATCTGTGTCACGAAAGCTCACCCAAATCCCAAAAGCAGTGAGAAGTTGAGAACGATGCCATCTTGACTCACTGCTTCCGCTTCGGATTGCTTTCATGACATGGAGTCAGTCGGGCTCTCAGACAGCCAGCCAGGCTAGCAACAAGGCACAGGATGAGGTTAACTGAGGAGACCGTACCCTGTCGCAAAGGCTGAGAGAGAGAGGGTAGCGCAGGAGATGCACGAAGGACTCGGGCATGAAGAAGAAGCCTGGAGTGGCGTTCTGAGGGAAGCCCGCCGGCACGAAGGACGGGTCGTCTGTGATGTTGAGGGCACGCGTGGCCGTGGTGAGTGTGATGTGGCTGTACTGCATACCGGCCATTATATCTCTGGATGGGTTGATTGGGGGATGGGTGGATGGGTGGATGGGTGGATGGATGGATGGATGGATGGATGGATGGATGAATGGATGGATGGATGGATGGATGGATGGATGGATGGATGGATGGATGGATGGATGGATGGATGGATGGATGGATGGATGGATGGATGGATGTGTGCAGGGGAATTCCATGTTCACGATGGGGATTACATGTAGGTGTAGTTGGCGGCGCCTTTAGTGAGGCCGAAAGCACCAATGACGAGATGGCTGCTGCCTGTCTGCAGCGGCACCTTGCCATCCCACCCCGTCTTGTTCGTCGGTGTCGGCTCCTCCAAGCACACCGCGAAGGACACTGGGGTTTCGGCAGAGGTGAGCTGATAGAGGAAGGGGCTGTTCCACCCCAACCCCAGCACGCCTCCTGCTGACCACGAGCCGTACTGCCACCCCTGCATGCCCCAGTGACCCATCTGATTCACTCCACAGCTGGGGGGGCAAAGGGGGGTGGCAGAGAGGGCCAGAGAGCGTGAAGGAAGAGATGAGGAGATATCATGTCATTGGAGAGAAATGTTGAGGGAGGAAGCACGGGAGAGAGGACGGGCAATGACAGGAGAGACTCACCCAAGAATGATGGAGCGGTTGACTTCGGTACCGTCAGGTGCAGTGAGGTAGACCGTGTCCTGCACCACATGCCCCACTGACTCAAGGTACGATCCTGTTCCGTTCTCAACAGCTTCCCAGTCCGCTTCATAGTAGTCGTAGTTTCCTGCATTCGCATCATACACGCAGAGAGCGTCGTCCCCAGGCAGTACGCCCGTGAGGTTGAGGTAGTTGGCCAGCCCCTCCGTGTTGCAGCCGTAGTAGCCGGATTCAACACCCTTCTGGCAGCGCTGGTCGGCGCAGGAGATGTACTCAAGGGTCGAGGAGGAAAGCGTGCTGAAGGGCTTGCTGTAGGTGGTCTGCGGGGCGAGGGAGAGAAAGAGGGAGAGGAAGAGGGCGAGGGAGGGAGAAGGGGTAGGGAGAGGGAGAGGGCGAAGGAGAGAGAAAGGGATACGAAATGGGATAGGAAGGAGGGGAACGTGAGGCTCGAAATGGGTGGCTTGCTGTAGTCAGTGTGCAAGGGGAGGGAGAGGGGCAGAAGGCGTTGTGGTGACGGTCGGGAAGGGGATGGGGTGATGGGTGGGGACCGGAGGGGAGGGAAAGTGAGGCTAGATTTATGTGCTGTTGTAGCGGAAACAGAAAAAAAGAGTGAGTGGATTCACATGTGTGCTGTGAGAGGGCAATGGGAGAGAGAGCTAAAGGCGGAAACATTCATCTTCAGCAGGTCATAAGGAATCCATCAGCCAGAACAGGGGGTGAGATGAGGAAAGAAGGAAAGGAAATGAAAAGGGGGTGGGTGGAGGAAGCAAAAGGGGTGAGGATGAGGAACGGAGTCATAGCTCAGCCTCGATCGCAACCCGCACTGCAGAGAAAGATAAAAACAACCCACAAAAAGACAAGAGGAACCTCCACGGAATGACACTCATGGACAGGACGGGCTTAATTGAACTTCCACTCAGCGACCCTCTAAGTCCTCACACTCTCACACTCTCTATAACGCCCCGCTACCCACTGGGACAAAACGAGGGTGTTATTTAGGCGCAGCGGAATGCCCTTAACACAACCCACAGGCGTTACACTCATCTCCCCCTGGTGCCAACGCCCCCGTTGGCCCTCAACTTCAGGAAGTCGCCCCCCGCAGGGACTTCATTCCAGGACCATTCACTGGGCTCGCAACTAGATCACCACATTCCAGGTCTCGATCGCAGCAGACAATGTAGACCATTCGTGAATTGAACCCTAGGCTCTGGTACCAGTATAACGCCTCGCTACCCTCTGGGTCAAAACGAGGGTGTTATTTAGGCGCAGCGGAATGCCCTTAAAGCCCGCGTCTCATATTTCTGCTATCCAATCAAGTGTTAAACGGTTGGAATTTGGTAACAGCAAAGTTTGTCGCAAAGCACACCAAAGCAAGGGGTGGTTTGGGAAAGTTGGCTGTCGCACACTTCCCGTGCACACCAAGCGTTTACAACTTCCGAAAATATGAGACTCTGAAACTCAACGTTGACAGAAGGGGGGACCGAACCTGTCCCCCTTGGCTCATTTTCCACCCAAACCAACCCACCCTGGTTTGTTTTGGCCTCGACTGTTTTGGTAGTTCGCTGTGATTTTTTCACCCACTCGTCAAATATTTCGTTTTCGTTGCCCAATCACAGTCAAGCAAACCCAACCAAGCGTTAAACGGTTGGAAATATGAGACGCGAGCTTTAACATTCTCACAGGCGTTACACTCTCACATTCTCACTCATTCACTCTCCTCACTCTCATTCGAGCTCCGCACTCCCCCGCGCGGGAGGAGTGTGGGGAGGGCGGAACCCCACGCACCCCCTTGCGCATGGAGCCGCATTGCAGACAGTTGCAGGGCACAAAGGTGTGCGGCAGGAACAGGTTGAGCGCCATGCTGAACTCCTGCTTCTGCGACCCCAGCTTGAGATTCACGTAGTACGGGTACACGCTGGTGGGAGTAGGGGAAGGGGGAGAAGGGGGAGGTCACAAAAGGAAGGAGGTGGAAGTGGGGGTCGGCGAGAGGTGGGAGCATGGGATGGGATGGGACCGTGCGCCTATTGTGGGACGAGGGATGACCCAGAGGGGTGCGAGAGAGTTGCTGCGGGCGTTGTGAGAGAGTGAGTTTTGAGAGTATGTGAGTGGCATGCAGCGAGGGGGATGCAGCGAGTGAGAGGCATTTCGCCCGTAACTGCACTGCACGACGCTGGCGCATGCATACGGGAGGCGGATCTTGTCGTTGCCGCCGGCGAAGGTGCTGTAGTTGACCATGGTGTTGCCCATTGTGCCGTTGGCCGTTGAGACCAGCGTGCTGTCGTACTCCTTCATTGGCAGCGGAAACCACGTTGTCTGCACGCAAGCAGTGATGCACGCAAGCATGCAGCAAGCAGGTAGGTGGTGGGACTGACAGCCCATGTGAGCGACGGATTTCCGAGGTGGCAACAACGGCAAAAGAAATCTCCCCGTTGTCTGCACGCAAGCAACGAGGCAGACTAGCCGCACAGGCAGGTGGAAGGTCCGCTACGCGGCAAGATACAACAAGGTAATAGAAGCTGACTCACTTCCGATGCCTTGCCTGCCTCTCCTTTGCCCCTCAAGCCGCCCCCCACGCCCTGCGCATGCCACGGGATTGTGAGAGGGAAGGAAGCAGCAAGCCATGAGGAGACTCACGCGGGTGCATCTCAGTCGCGAAAGACACAATGAAGCGAATCGGCAGAGGCTAATCATACGGCTGTCTACTCAGTGCTATACTGTGTCTCCTCATACGACCCGCGCGACGTAAAGGGACGGACGGACGCCTTTCGCCGTGACTGACGTATTAAAAGCAGCCAGCAACGCCCGCCTCCGGTCGACCCCAGCTTTGATTGAGACGTCTCAAACTCGGAGCTACGTGACGTGACGCGTCATGAGCGAGCAATCTTGTGACATGATACTGCCTCCTCCTAGGATCAGAAATACGGCTATCGTATTATACGGGGCGTTTTTTTCGATGGTATAATACGTTCGGTTTTCCAAAAATTTTGTCGTTTTTTTGTTGGCCCTTTTTGAGTCAGAATTTTTCCAGAATCTACTGAAATGGCTACAACAAAGACTAGGAAACCGATAACAACCTACAATAAGGAGAAACAGGCATGCTAAGGTCCACGAATTCTGCCGCTACCCCTATGCATACCTAGGCAAGTACCGGCCTTTAGCCTATATCTCCTCCTAAGTCCATCCCCACCCCACTATACTCACCCTGCTGCCTTCTATTCTTCTACTCCACCACCTCGTCATCCTCTTCCTCCTCCCTCCCCACTCTAACCGTCGTACTCCTCGTCATCCTCTTCCTCCTCCTCCTCCTCCCCACTTGAACCGTCGCTGCAATCCCAGGCATATCGCCCCTTGGGATTCAGGGCAGGCTCTTCCTCCTCCCCACCGCTCTCTTCCGCCTCCTCTTCCTCCTCCGCATCCCCTGCTTTTCCTTTCCCCTTTCCCTTGCATGCACCGTTGCCCTTCTCCCTCTTCGCCCCTTTAGATGACTTACCCGCCTTCCCTTTCCTCTTCTTGCCGATGCTCCCAAATTCCGACCAATCAATGGTGCATTCCTCCTCCACGGGTGCCTCCTCCTCCGCATCCCTTTCCTCCACCTCCACTTCGGCCGGGATGATGGCAGCCCCTTCCCTGAGGGTGCCGTTGCCCAGGTCCTGATAGAGCTTGGAACGCAGGGCTGCCTTTCGATCAAAGGCATCACGGGCCCGCCGGGTGAAGGCGACGAAGGTGACGTCAGTCATCTTCTTCGCCGTGAGGCGGTTCCGGTCGCGCCTCTGCACACGTGCCAGCGCCGACCAGTACCTCTCCACTTCGGAGGAGGTGACTGGCTGTGACAAAGACGTCACAGCCAGGTCTTGGAGCGCCTGCACCTCCCCACCAAACAGGAACCACCATTCCGCCTCCGTCATGTGCCCCGCCTCCACCAAGGTAGTTGCTCCCCAACGGGCATCGTCAGAGCCCAACCTGCCCTCCCCTCGGTGAAACTGAGCCACCTGTGCAGCTAGCGTTATGCGCTGCTGCACATCTCCGCCCCGGGCCTGGATTACCTCATCCACCCCCTTCCTAATCTCCTTGTCATTCCTTACCTCCCCAATGTACTGGTTACGGGGGTTGAGGAGCCAACCGATGGCATGCAGGGGGTTGTGCAGTTGTGCGTCCCACCTCCTGGCAATGATCGCCTTGATGGAGGTGAGGAAAGTGCTCCTGTCCTTAGGCAACAGCAGACCCGTCCGCTTGATGAAGTGTGCGGCTGCTCACAGTGAATAAAGAGCACTAATTAGATAGGAAGCATGAGCGGGTGGGTGGAGAGATTAACAATCAATACCCATCGCGTAATACTTTCAGCCGTCTCACTCACCAGCCGTCTCAGCCGCCGCATTAGTCTTCACCATGGCTTCAAGCATGAGGCCGTACAGCTGCCCCATGACTTGAGCCCGTGTGTCGACGGCGCGGAGAACCTCGTAGATGGGAGTCATGAGGCGGTGCACGGCCGTCCCACAGTCCCAAAAAACGTCGTCCAAAAGCAGCTTCCTAACCTCCATCCCCTCCTCCGTCCGTGCCACCGCTACATCCTCCCATTCCTCGCTGATTACCATCGCCCTCAACGCGCGCTTCACCTCAAGGAACCTGCCGAGCATGATGACCTGGGTGCCAAATCTCGTTGCACCAGGCCGCACCAACGAGAGCTTGGTAAAAAGCTCACGGAACAAGACCACGGCCGAGGCGGCGCCTTTGATCATCATCACGACCTGATGCACTTGGGAAAGGACGAGTTTCACCGCAGGGATCTTGCCGATGTCGTGCAGCATGAGGTCGAGGCAGTGGGCGGCGCAGTTGGTGAAGAAGATATGGGGATAATCCGCGCTTAGCTTGCTGGCGGCGTTTTTGTTGTTCGAAGCGTTATCCATCACGACTTGGACGACATGCTTCGGCCCCACAGTGGTGATCGCTCCCTGAATAAGCGTTGCCAAGTAGTCCCCGGTTTTTTTTACGGTCTTCGAGTCAACGATGTCGACGATGACGGGTGCGGTGTCATTTTGCGCGATGACACACACAAAACCGCGGGATTTGATGTCCGTCCATCCATCGACGGAGAGCGAGCACCCGCTGGTCTTCCAGCTCTCCTTCAGCGGCCGCAGCAGGTCCTCGGAGTCCGCCTTCAGCTTGTCCAGCAATGGGCCGGATACCTTGTACGGGGTTGGGAGGGTATACGGTTTCGCGTACATGATCACCGCGTCAACGAACGCCTGAATCGATTTCGACTTGCTGACGTTGAAGGCGAGGTCGTTCTCGGCAACTGCAGCAGCCCACAGGTAATCAAGGCGATTATGCGCAACTTGGTCCGTCATATCACGGATATCTCACTGCCGGGAGCGACGCACGGGCGGCGCCTCCACCGAGGACGTGGAGGCACGGGTTGATCCTCCCGAAGCATTTTCCGTGGTCGAGCGCTCCTGATCGGCTGTCGCCCGCAACTGCTTAGCGTAGTCCGACTTGCACATCGCAACGTTCTTGTCCCTCTTGTTAGTGCCGAACATGTGCTTGCCTATCCTAGTCGCATTAGCCGTCACAGGATTCTTGCAATGAATGCAGGTAGCACCGACTACGTTGCCTTCGTCAGCCTTAATCCTAATGACGTGCTCCCAAAACTGAGAAGCGGGGCGCACCATGGCGTTCCACTAGACTATGCTGAGAAAGCGTGGGTCAGAGATTGTTGTTCTGAGATACGGCAGCCAGAGAGAGGATGTGTCGAATGGGATTTTCCTCCTCCAATATGTATCTCTTTGTACTGCTTTGTCGAGGGGTGTTTGAAGAATGGATGACGTGAGATGGGAGATGGATTGGCGTATTACTATTGGCTGGAATTGTGTCGCGCGCAATTGTGCGAGGCGTCAAGATTGGGGGCGAAAAATAAACCCAGCGCGCGAGTTGTGCTAACGACTTCGCGAAACGGGTACCAAGGTTCAAGGGGTTCGCCAATGGTGTACATTTCCGCGCCTCGGAAATTTGGTGTCGTCGCGATTCGGCGAACTACTCAAACGACTCAGCGAAACGGGTAAGCGCTTTTAAACCGTTCGTCAGATGTCAAAATGTCGCGCCACGCCATTTTCTTGACATGCGTGACTCGGGCCAAATTCGAGCGAGACTCACAAAACTTCTCACGAAATCCCCCAAAACGAACTCGACGGGGCTGATTGTTGAAATTCGGTGTACACCTTCTCCGTTCTAAAAATTCGGTCGAAAAAAACGATCGTATTTTTAATCGAAATTTAAAAATATCATTTAACCGTACTAAACCGTTTTAAACGACCGTATAATACGATACCGTATAATACGGCCCTAAAATCAATATTTCGGTCGTATTTTTGATCCTTGCTCCTAACTACTAGAATGTCTTGAGACGTCTCAAGAATGGTCAAGCAGCAACGCCCTGCTCGCGGCCCCTTCCCTCCTCACTCTGGACGCGAGAATCCGGCGGCGCAGCTCGTCCCTCAGGCTGCTGGGGGCGTCCTCGGCGCGCTGCAGGGGGAAGAAGTGCGCGCCCGCTTCCGCTGATCGCCGCTTCCACTCCGCAATCGACTCCGCGCCGTCGCTCCCGGCGCCCGTCGTGCTGGCCGCCCGCCCTCCGCCGCTGCTGCTGACAGAGGGATGCTGGCGCCGTTCAGATGTTCCGACCTGCGATGACTCGCCGTGAGAAGGAGGGGAGAGGGGGGTAGAGAAGGGAGGAGGAGAGGGAGAGGGAGTGAAAGGGAGAGAAAGGTTGGTACATGCACAGAAAACTGAGAGGACGCGTCGGAGTTGTTAAAAGCTGTTAGAGGGCCCTACAACAGCAAGGGCCCTCGATGACCTTTGACTTGGCAGGTCGACGCCTAGCAACTGAGTCTACTCGGCACCGACGAATGAGTTCGATGGAGGTCGCATGAAGAAGCGAGAGTCCGTGGGAGTCGTTGGTGCTTCCTTGAGAGTCACACCACTCCTTGCTGTGTTGGTGGAGTGGTGTGCACGGAAGCGAGAAGTCGATGCTGAGTTGGGTTGGGAAATTGGCGAGGCGCGTTCGCTCACCCACACACCACTTTCGTGGGGTTGGGTTACTCGCAGCGCCCACGCAACCTCTTGTGAAACCCTCGCCTGCCTATATATGTTTGTGTTGCTTGTGTGTTTGATATATATTTTCTATGTTCCTAGTGAAGTCCAAAATGCTACTTCAATTCTCACCAAGTCCTTAGAGGCAAATGCTACCGAAACTCTACCAAGTTGCTGGCGCAACATCATTCCCATAGCAGAAACTCTCTCGTTATCGCTACGCTCTCTAATAGATTCCTTCATGGTGCGGTGAGCGTGGAACGAACACGCATAGATTTCCGTCGTCGTTGATATTCGCGTTCGTATACTCGCCTTGGCGTGCGGCGTTAGTGAAGGGCGCTTATTAATCTAAGTTGAACCTCTCTTGATTTCCCTCCAGTTACGTTCTCGGACCCAAGGATAGGGCGTTTGGTAATTTATTACCACTCGTCTGAGGACCCTTGTGAGGTGACCCCGAGACGAGGGATTTAAGGAAGGGGCACTTTATTTTAATTTGTGGTACCTTATAGAGACGTCGTAGAGGATGAGTACTGAGGAGGCGAACGTGGAGGCCGGTAATTTGCGCACTCTAGAGGAGGATCTCGTGGCTCGTCATTCTCGTGGTGAGATTAGTGATATTGAATACGAGCTAATGTTGGAGGGATTGCGCTCGCGTCGGCGTCGTGAGCACCCTTCCCCACGTGTAGAGAATGTTGAGCAAGTTGCGAGAGGTACTAGTGCGTGGGATATGGCTGTCGATGGCAGAAATAGCGATGACGAGGAGTTTGATGGGTTGATGTCGCGTGGGGTCCTGCGAAGACCAACTCGGTTTAGTACGGCTAGCGTCGGCGGTGTACAGGAGCGTGTTCATCGTGCAGCAGCGTCACGAGAGCATGCGAATGTAGGACGGCGAAGCGTTGCTGGGGGAGGAATTGCGGAAGAGTTCGATAGTGAGACTATGCCGGGCGTTACCCCGATTGGATCGATGTCGAGGGACGAGGGAATAGCCCCCAACTATGGCTACTTCAGATTCACTCCAGACAAGATCGTTGTCACTAGTCCGTTAGAAGGACGTCACGACCTGTCGACGTGGACAGAATCAATCGAGCCGCAGCTTGAGATCGCTCAGCTAAAGCGATTCATAGATGGCACCACCCCTATTCCACCAGCGCGTGCGCTTGCGCATCTCTCTCAGTTCCGCGCGATGCAGTTGCTGACATTCACCACTATTTCCCGATGCTGCTCCCCAACCGTACAGATCGCCCTTAAGGCGTGTCGCATGAAGGTTGATGCCGGCTATCAGGCATGGCAGTTTATTATGCGCACGTACATGGCGAAGGACGATCTGTACATCGGTCAGTTAGAGCAGGCGCTCACTAACCTCGAGATGGGAGAGCATGAGTCCGCTACGTCCTATTGCAACCGTGCGCAGCAGATCCTAGTGAACCTGAGGATGGCCGGCGTAGATTACTCGCAGGCGTCGTACATCACTCACGTTGTGAAGGGGTTGCCGCAGCAGTACAACCTCTTACGCAGGATGCTGAAGTTGCCGCAGGTGCGCAAGGAGTTGGACGAGAACACCCTCGCTAGCTACATCATCGAGGAGGAATGTACGCTGGCGTCAGAGGGACGAAAGGACCAATTCCTTCCCCAGGCTAACCAGGTCTTTACCAAGAAGGGTAAGCCCCAATTCCAGCAGAATTCGTTCCCTTCCCCTCCCACTACGGCACAGCAGCAACAACCTAAGAATGGGGGTGAGCTTAGTGGGGGAGGGGAGAAGTGGAAAGGGGGTAAGGATGGCCAGCCGAAGGGGGGGAAAGGGGGTTTCAAAGGGAAGTGCTATGTGTGTGGACAAATAGGGCATGTTGCTAAGTACTGTCAGCAGCGGGCGGATAAGGAGGCAGACACCGGTGGAGAGGGTTCTGGAGGTAGCAGCGGAAAGGGGGGTGATGGCTCTAAGGGGAGCGGGCAATCATCATGTGCGATGGTGAAGCCCGTTGTGGAGCAGACTCCTCTCGTTGTGCTAGAGCCTGAGGGCGGGGAGGCCTTACAGGCTGTTGCAGCTGCTGTGAAGGCGAACCCGAGCGTCGTGCTGCTTGATAGCGGATGCTCCCACCATCTCATGGGAGATCGTTCTGCCTTTGTGGAGATGAGCAGCGGCGGCAGTATTAAACAGGTTACTGGCTTCAACGGCGCGCTTCAGGAGGTGCAGGGGCGGGGCACAGTCGCTCTTCTTGGAGAGGGGGGCAGGCGTGTCTTGGTGCCGGACGTGCTGTACGTACCAGAAGTGCAGGCGAGTCTTCTCTCTGCTGGGCAGCTGCGTGAATGTGGTGTGCAGCTGCTGGATGCCGGGGATGTGACTTTGCTGCGAGCACCAGATGGATCGCTTCTTGGTCGTGCGGAGTTCAAGGGGCGTGTTCTCTGCACGAACTTCCAGCCGTGTTCAACGCAGCAGCAGGAAGGCGAAACGGTGGCACTCCGTACCTTGGCGACGGGCGTGCGGTCTAAGGGGGACCTGTGGCATGCGCGTATGGCACACGTTGGTATTGATGCCATCGAGCGCACAGCGGCTCACGGGTCAGTAAAGGGCTTGGATTTGGAGAAGGGGGGCAAGTCAGGCATACCTTGTGTTTCCTGTGTTGGGGGAAAGATCACTCGTCATACCTTTCCTTCTGTGGGAGAGGAGGAGGATGAGTTGCTCGGGGTGGTGCATGCTGACCTGTGTGGCCCTTTCCGTGAAGCAGCTAAGGACGGCAGCCGCTACTTCTTGGTGCTGAAGGATCGAAAGACGCGATATGTCTGGGCCTACCCTTTGGCCCGGAAAAGTGATGCGCTGGCGGCGTTCCAGAAGTGGCTCCCGATGGCAGAGCGACAGTGCAAGACCACGGTGCAGGCCCTGCGCACTGATCGGGGTGGCGAGTTCCTGGGGCACGACTTCACGCTCTTCCTCGACGGTAAAGGCATCATCCATGACCTCACATGCCCGTACACGCCGGAGCAGAACGGGATGGCCGAGAGGGAGATGCGCAGCATTGTGGAGGCGGTGCGGACGATGTTGCTGCACATGGGTGTGCAGCATCACTGGTGGCACCTGGCGTTGGCTCAGGCCGTCTGGGTGCGCAACCGCGTGGAGCACGCCTCACTACCCTCTGGTGTGACGCCGTACGAGCTCGCCTTCCGACGCAAACCTGATGTCAGTATGGTGCGTGTTTGGGGCTGCATGCTGCAGTACATGGTACCACGGTCGCAGCGTGGGGGGAAGCTGGCGCCTAAGGCTCGCTGGGGGTTGCACTTGGGTGTGTCAGCTGCGAGCAAAGGCTGGACCGTGCTGGACTTGGAGTCCAACCGCCTCATCACCACTGTGGAAACTGTGTTCTATGAGACCATGTCCCTAGCAGGATGGAAAGCTTGGCATCAGCAGGAGCATGGGGGGCGTTCGATGCCCTATGAGCCCCTTCCCTCACTCTTCCCGATCACTCTCGAGGAGGCGGAGGAGGAGGAGGAGGTGGTCGCACCTCCTGCTATGCCCTATGTCCCTACCTCGGTCCCCACCCCACCTCCGCCTTCAGTCTACCCTCGTGTGATTCCCCCTGTCCCGCCTTCTTCCTCCTCACCCCCCTTGCCTTCCCCTCCTCCTCCTGTTATTCCATCCCCCCTTTCACCCTCCATCCCTCCTGCACCTGCTCCGCCCTCCTCTTCGTCTTCCACGGCGCCGCCCGTTGGTGGGGGGGGGATGGAGGTGCCACCGTCTGTGGAGATCACCGACGGGCAGCGCCTTGAGACTGAGCAGCTGCAGGACGAGAGCAGTATGGATGGAGTACAGCAGACAGGGGAGCAGCAGATTGGGGAGCAGCAGACAGGGGAGGAGCGGATTGAGGAGCAGCAGATGGTGGACCAGCAGCTAGGGGAGCAGCAGACAGGGGAGCCGCAGACAGGGGAGCAGGAGATGTGGGGAATTAGAGATGGTGGTCGTGTGTTGGTTTCTGGGACGACCACTGCACCTGTGCGTCGCTCCACTCGCATCACTCGTGGTGTCCCGCCTGTTCGATACGCTTGGGCTGTAGTGGTTGAGCCAGCGGGCTTGGATGACGAGGAGGAGGACGAGGAGTGGACTGACCTGGACCCGGACATTGCAGCTGATCCTGAGAGGCAGTGGGACATAGCGAAAATGACAGTGAAGGAGGCCTTGGGCTGCTGGAAGGGCGACAAGGTGAAGGAGGCGATGGATGAAGAGATGCGGAGCTTGATTGAGCAGGGGACGTGGGAGTTGGTTCCGCGTCCGCCAGGGGTGAATGTGATGAAGAACCGATGGATTTTGAACACCAAGTTCCGACCTGATGGGATAGTGGAGCGTGAGAAGGCGAGGCTGGTGGTGAAGGGGTTCACGCAGGTGGCAGGGGTGGACTATGAGGAGACGTACGCCCCTGTGGGAAGCTATGTGACGGCGCGTGTGCTTCTGGCGATTGCAGCTGCACTTGATTTGGACCTGATGCAGCTCGATGTAAAGAATGCGTTCCTCCATGGCGTGTTGGACCGAGACCTTTATATGGAGCAGCCGAGCTACTACGAGGATGGGACTCCTCGTGTCTGTAAGTTGGTGAAAAGTCTGTATGGGCTCAAGCAGAGCCCGATGCTATGGTATGAGGCCTTGGATGGGGTGCTGCTTGGGGCTGGATGGACGAAGAGCAAGGTGGATGAGGCTCTGTACTTCAAAACTGATGCTGATGGGGAGATGTGCTGGCTGCTGGTGTATGTGGATGACCTGCTTGCTGCCAGCCGCAGTCAGAGCATGCTTGAGGAGCTGCGTGAGCTGCTGCAGAGTGCGTTTCAGCTGCGGGAGATTAGCCCTGTGGAGAAGTATCTGGGGTTGCAGCTGATTCGGGACAGGCCTACGAGGAGGCTGTGGCTGCACCAGGGGGCCTATGTGGACAAGGTTCATAGGCGCTTCTTTGACGGGGAGCAGCCGCTGCGAGTGCCTCGCACCCCTCTTTCCTCTGACCCTTTCAGTGTGCAGACCTTTGAGGATGTGGGATGGCAGTCTCGCCAGGAGGAGGAGTACAGGCAGAAGGTGGGATCCTTGCAGTTTGCGGCCTGTACCACCCGTCCCGACATCTCGTTCGCCTGCAGCAAGCTGGGGTCGGGCCAGACTGTGCGGAGTGATCAGCACTGGAAGGAGTTGGACCGGTGCTTGACGTACTTGGTGGGGAGCAGGGATGTGGCGCTGGAGTTTGGTGGTGGGCCGGAGTCCTTGGAGCTGGTGGGCTACGCCGATGCTGATGATGCTGGGGACAAGCAGAACAGGACCAGCACAGGTGGCTATGTCTTTGTGCTCGGGGGTGCTGCTGTCTCATGGGCAAGCCAGAGGATTCGTTGCGCCACCCTCTCCTCCACTGAGTCTGAGTATGTTGCTGCTGTGGAGGCTGGGAAGGAGGCGCGCAGGCTGCGCTTCCTGCTGGCAGAGTTTCAACTGCTGAGGAGTGAGGAACCCACTACTCTCTTTGTGGACAACTCCTCCGCCATTTCAGTGGCAGGTGGCATGGGGCTCAAGGGGAGCCTAAAGCACATGGAGCGTCGCCACATGTGGCTGCAGCACATGGTCAAGCGCAGGAAGCTGCAGTTGCAGTACATCCCTACGAGCGAGCAGCCTGCTGACTACCTCACGAAGGCATTGCATTTCCCCGCCTTCAGTCGTTGCTTCGAGGCTGTGGGGCAGGTGAGGCTTTCGAGTGAGGGGGGTGAGACCTAAACACTCCATGATGTGGATGGTGCCATGGCCTATCCATGGCTGGTGCGGTGCGTGTTTGCACTTTGAGAGTGCTTCGTTTGTGTGTGTCTCCCTTTGTTTTGGCGTGTACGTGTGTATGCATGCCCTGTGATTATAAAGGGCCTTGCTGTAGTATGGCAGGGGAGTGTTAGAGGGCCCTACAACAGCAAGGGCCCTCGATGACCTTTGACTTGGCAGGTCGACGCCTAGCAACTGAGTCTACTCGGCACCGACGAATGAGTTCGATGGAGGTCGCATGAAGAAGCGAGAGTCCGTGGGAGTCGTTGGTGCTTCCTTGAGAGTCGCACCACTCCTTGCTGTGTTGGTGGAGTGGTGTGCACGGAAGCGAGAAGTCGATGCTGAGTTGGGTTGGGAAATTGGCGAGGCGCGTTCGCTCACCCACACACCACTTTCGTGGGGTTGGGTTACTCGCAGCGCCCACGCAACCTCTTGTGAAACCCTCGCCTGCCTATATATGTTTGTGTTGCTTGTGTGTTTGATATATATTTTCTATGTTCCTAGTGAAGTCCAAAATGCTACTTCAATTCTCACCAAGTCCTTAGAGGCAAATGCTACCGAAACTCTACCAAGTTGCTGGCGCAACATCATTCCCATAGCAGAAACTCTCTCGTTATCGCTACGCTCTCTAATAGATTCCTTCAAAAGCCAGACCAATTTCCGCATAACTGAGGCTGGTAGACTGTACTACAGAATAGTAGTATAGTATTCAAAGCACCAGAAACAGTTTGGTGTGGTCCCACATGCTGTGTGGTCCCAGGGTTCCTCGCGCCGTCTGATAGAGAAAGCGCCACATGCTGCGTCCCCAGGATGTGAGCCACCATCCCAGAGAGGTGACATTTGAGTCGACTCAAAAGTCACCCCATCCCAGCGATGCTACTAGCAACGGCTGGGATCGTGTGATGTCGCTACAAGCTGTACCTCGGGTGACTGCGAGTCCAGTAACTGGTAAGAATGTGCGGCATTCCCGGCGGGGCTGCTCAGGAATTCATGTTGAACGCCCGCAACGGCCATCTCGGGGCCGTGGCGCGCGTGGATTCGCAAGACACTGAGGGAGAGGAGCAGGAGCGACACGAGCAGGCGCGGAAGTCTCGTCTCGATCCTTCCTAGCCATGTAGCCCATAGTACTGCCGAGTCGCGCCCCCCTGCTCTATTCGAGTTTCAACGTGACGGGATGTCCGGAAAGTCAAAGGGAGAGCTTTCTAAAAAATTCGTAGCTGACTTATTGCTCAATGCAGGTCGAAGGGGTCTCAGTGGCGTGTACTGTACTGTACAAGGAGGTGTGAGGGCCTACTAGTAATGTACTGTACAGCTGACTGACAGCCTGTAATAATGGTGCCATTCTACGGGCCGATGGAGATGTCGTGGAAACGGAAACTCGTGAAGCTTATCGTGCTTTGCCTCGTCAGTATTTTCGCGTTTTGCCTCGTCAGTATTTTCGCGTTTCGCCTCGTCAGTATTTTCGCGTTTCGCCTCGTCAGTATTTTCGTGTTTTGCCTCGTCAGTACAGTACTTCCCACATTTCTGTTCAAGCTCCCCTGCAATAGAGACGTCGTCGTTCGGGAAATAAGGGTGGGTATTAGGCCGTGGTACATTGGGCTCAAATATCGTCTTGGGGCTCGAGCCCACAAAGAAGACCCCGAACTTTCCATTCAGAAATTGGGATTCCAATTGTGGATTGAGCCTCCCGCTCGAGAGGAGGCTCGGTTCCTGGAAAAGTAACGCAATTTAGGACGTGGCATAATCGACGCTCGAGGCACGAGCTCAGCTCCAATATGTAGGGTAACCCGAATTTCCCGTCTAAAAAATGGAAACCAATTGTTTGAATGGGATTCACGCGGGTGAGCCTCGCGCTGGAACGAGGAACTCGTGATGTCTGCAACTGGGGTTTCCTCGTGCTGACGGATTGTCGGCGCTGCCACTTCCAGTCAGTCCATCCATCCCAGGTCTAAAAATTTCATATACAGTATTTGCCTAGCTGCCAGCGCAAGTGTCGCACCGCACCAAAGTATCGAATTGAATGCACAGACTGGTTCGGAAGGAACGAATCTCCACGTTGAGCCGTACTACATCGGCCTGTACTCGACCAGCCGCCAGCTTAGGAGTAAGTCGTGCTACATGTGCCGAATCTCCTCAAAGCCAGGCCAGAAAGTCCATCACGAGAGTAATGTTGTCAATGGCACGCTCGTCACGTGCCAATCCACATTGCCCCAACCCATTACCCTCGAAAGACACTCCAAGTATCGACTATGTTTCTACACCCTGCCCTCATCGCACCAGCATTTTTCTCGTCACGTTTGCACTCCCTTCCGTGACCCTTGCAAACCCTCTACGCGGCTGGTAAAATTACCATGGCTTTTTCGTGCCGTGGCGCCCCCTCGCGTCTGCTGCCGCTCGTGCTCCTCTCCCTCAGTGTCTTGCAAATCCACGCGCGCCACGGCCCCGAGGTAGCCGTTGCGAATGATGTTCCGCATTACCGGAGCAGTCCCGCCGGCGGGGATGCCGTTGTTTCTCATCAAGGGCAGCTCGACTCGCAGTCATCCGATGTAACGCCTGTGGGCTGAGCTAGTGTTAAGGGCATCCGCTGCGCCTGAATAACATACTCGTTTTGACCCAGTGGGTAGCGATTGGTTTCCATTTTTTTACCCAGTGGGATTCACGCGGCGAGGTAGTAGTACTAGTACTGCATCACACGAGGCGCAGGCATCGCTGGTATTGGGTTGTGAGGGTTATTAGATAATGTCCAATGATTGCTCGCGTGGTGACACTCCCTCCCACTTTCTCCTCCCTCCCGACTCTGCCCCCTCTCCCCTCGCTCTCACGGCGATCCGATGATAGGTCGAGGCATCCGGAGGACGCCGGCATCATGGTGACCCCTCTGCTAGCAGCAGCGGCGGAGGGGGGGCAGCCCGCACGACGGGCGTGGGGAGCGACGGCGCGGAGTTGATTGCGGAGTGGCAGCGGCGATCAGCGGAAGCGGGCGCGCACTTCTTCCCCCTGCAGCGCGCGGAAGACGCCCCCAGCAGGGATGAGATACACCGGCGGATCCTCGCGCCCTCTGTGAGTGCCTCCAAAAATTTGGAGGGACGTATACTATGTCTCAACATATGTAGCGTCATTGTAAATGGTATGTATATTTGTATATATATATGTATATAAATATGTATATATGTGTTTGAACATTGTAAGAGGGCCGAACATCTTTGGAGATTGTGGGGGTGGAGTGGAGGGTGCAGGGAGCAGACCCCTATAAATGTCATGCCTCCCTCTATGCCGTTGCATGGCCGTCGACACTTATGCTTAGCTGCTGTAGCTTCGCTGTTTCTTTTTCGATTGAGATGCGCCCACGTGTCTCCTCGTGCCGTTGAGTGCAGTTATCTCATAACCTGGGCTTTCAATCGTACAATGCATGTGGTGCCCTTTGGGGACGTGCAGTGGCCTGATGCCTAATTCTCCCCCACAAATCCGTGGCATGCGCAGGGCGGCGTGGGAGGCGGCTTGAAGGGCGAAGGAGAGTCACTCAGGGCGAATGTGAGTCAGCGCTCACTCACAGGACGGCCCTGCCGCTGCTGCTATTTTACCAGACTAGTAGTGTGACCTCAGGCAACTGTTTGTGAAACGGTGGCAAGTGAGGTGGCAAGTGAGGTGGCAAGTGAGGTGGCAAGTGAGGTGGCAAGTGAGGTGGCAAGTGAGGTGGCAAGAGAGGTGGCACGTGACGTGGCACGTGAGGTGGCAAGTGAGGTGGCACGTGAGGTGGCAGGTGACATTTGACCATGCTGCCATTGCATTCGCCCGTTCTCAGGCACTGAACTCAACCCTCAGATAACAAGTTGTTGTCACACGAAACCTCCCACCTGCCTCATCTGGAAGCCTGTCAAGCCTCTCTGTCCGGATCGTTCCTGCGTCCATCTGTTGATTGTTCTACCTACCTTGTTTGCAGGCAAGGGGGATATCCTTTGCCATTGTTTTTCTTTGGCGCCTCAGAATTCGTCTCGTCTCACTTGGGCTGTCTTACCTGGTTGATTTCTTGCAGACAAAGGGGTATCTTCTGCCAATGCTGAACTACGACAGCACGCTGGTCTCAACGGCCAACGGCACAATGGGCAACACCATGGTCAACTACAGCACCACCATCGATGACAACCAGATCCGCCTCCCGTATGCTCCGCACCGTGCCCCTCTCACTGCAGGCCACTCGCTGCAGGCCACTCGCTGTTTCCCTTCGACCTCCCCCCTCTGTGTCCTTGCACCCCTTTTTGCTCTTCCTCCCGTCAACCCCTCTCCTCCACCCTCCGTCGCATGCCTCCCCCCACCAGCGTGTATCCGTACTACGTGAACCTCAAGCTGGGGTCGAGGAAGCAGGAGTTCAGCATGGCGCTCAACCTGTTCCTGCCGCACACCTTCGTGCCCTGCGACTGTCTGCAATGCGGCTCCATGCGCAAGGGGGTGCGTGCGGCTCCGCCCTCCGCTCTCTCTTCCTGCGCACGCCCAGGCGGGAAGAGAGAGCAGGGGGATGCGGGGGCGAAAAGGGGGTGGAGATGTGGGAGTGGGGAAGTGCAGTGAGAGTGAGAGTGAGAGTGAAGGAGAATGAATGAGTGAGATTGGCGATAGTGAGGGCGAGAGGGAGCGAGTGTGAGAAGCGGAGTGGGCCATTATGTGGAGGGTTGCAATCGAGTCACAAACTGTTTGTTCCCCTCTTCTGCTTACCGCTTGTGTTTACCCGCTTGTGCTTACCCCCTACTGCTTACCCCCTACTGCTTACCCCCTACTGCTTACCCCCTACTGCTTACCCCCTCCCCTTGTGCTTACCCCGCCTTCTGCATTTTCTTTTCTGCTAACAGCACATAACTAATTCCTCACCTCAAACACCCACCCATCACCCCATCCCCATCCCCACTCCCTCCACAACTCCTTCTGGCCCCCCTCCCTTTCGCTCCAGACTGACTACAGCACACCGTTCCGCTGTAGCCGCATCACACGTTTCCCTCCCTCCCCTCCGCTGGCCCTCTTTCCTTCACCCTCTCGTAGCCTGCTACCAACTGGGTTAAAAGAGCATCTTCGTATGGTGGATCGCACACCCATAACCCTCCAGGTCGCACCTGTAGCCCTCCCACATTCAACTGGGGAACAATTCCAGTGTCCCACCAACACCTCTCCCTCTCCCTCTCCTCCCACTCCCTCCCCCTCTCCCGCTCCCGCTCCCTCTCCCTCTCCTCCCACTCCCTCTCCCTATCCTGCTCCCGCTCCCTCTCCCTCTAACTCTCCCGCTCCCACTCCATCCCACTCTCCTTCTCAATCCCTCTCTCCGTCGCCCTTTCCCTCCCCCTCGCCGCGCAGACCACCTACAGCAAGCCCTTCAACACGCTCTCCTCAACAACCCTCAAGTACATCTCCTGCACCGACCAGAGCTGCCAGGGGGGAGTTGAGTTCGGTTTCTACGGCTGCAACGCTGAAGAGTTCCCCAACTACCTCAACATCACGGGCCTGCTGCCTGGGGACGACGCTCTCTGCGTGTACGATGCGCAGTCAGGAAGCTACGATTACTATGAAGGGGACTATAAAGCTAACAACGGAACAGGGCCATACCTTGAGTCAGTGGGGCATGTGATGCAGGACACGGTCTACCTCACTGCACCTGACGGTACCGAAGTCAACCGATCCATCACTCTTGGGTGAGTGTCTCCTTGTCCTTACCACTACTCCCACAAGTTATCTCGAAAATCTCACCTCCCCCTTGGTGCTGTCCCTCACTCTCCTGCTCTCTCTCCCTCCCCATTGCCCCCCCCCCCCCCCCCCCCCCCAGCTGTGGAGTGAACCAGCAAGGCTACTGGGGCATGCAGGGGTGGCAGTACGGCTCGTGGGCAGCAGGAGGCGTGCTGGGGCTGGGGTGGTCCAGCACCTTCCTCTGGCAGCTCACCGGCGCGAATAGCACACGCACCTTGGCGGTGTGTCTGGAGGCCACACCCACGAACGAGACGGGGTGGGATGGCGAGCTGCCGCTGCAGACAGGCAGCAGCCATCTCACCATTGGAGCCACCGGCCTCCCTGCCGGCGCCAGCTACGCTACCATGTAATGATAATCACTATGCACCTGCTCTATGTTCTCCCTCGCTCTCTTTCTCTCCCTGCCGGCGCCAGCTACGCCACCATGTAACCCCCCCTCCCCCCTGCTGCTTCACGCCCTCCCTTGCTCCCTCTCACTCGCTTCCCACCTGCTCCCTCGCTCTCTTTCTCTCCCTGCCGGCACCAGCTATGCCGCCTTCTAATCTCCCTCCTCCTGCTCCACGCCCTCCCTTTCTCTCTTTCTCTCCCTGCCGGCACCAGCTATGCCACCTTCTATTCTCCCTCCTGCTCCACGCCCTCCCTTGCTCTCTTTCTCTCCCTGCCGGCACCAGCTATGCCGCCTTCTAATCTCCCTCCTCCTGCTCCACGCCCTCCCTTTCTCTCTTTCTCTCCCTGCCGGCACCAGCTATGCCACCTTCTGATCTCCCTCCTCCTGCTCCATGCCCCCCCTCGCTCTCTTTCTCTCCCTGCCAGCGCCAGCTACTTGCGCATGTAATCCCCCCGGCTCTGAACGAGTCTAGTCATTCCTGCTGAACGACGCCCCCTCCCTTGCTCTCGTTCACTCCCTGCACGCACCACCTACCTCACCATGTTATCCCCCTGCTGTTTCTGCACTGCCCACTCTCGCTCTCCCACGCCCTCTCACACCCTCTCACGCCCTCTCACGCCCTCTCACGCCCCATCCACCTACATGTCCCTTTGTCTGTGCATCCACCCACCCACCTCATGTGTGTTACCCGTGTGCATTTCTCTCCTCTCAGGGATTTTTGGACCGGACTGCAGTACAGCCACATCACTCTCACCACGCCCAAGCGCGCACTCAACATCACAGACGACCCGGCCTACGTAAACCCCACCGTCACAACCTACGTGCCGGCGAATTTTCCTGAGAACGCCACTCCGGGGTTCCTCTTTATGCCCGAGTCCTTCGTGCATCTCCTGCGCTACCCTCTCTTCATGAGCCTTCTCGACGGGGTATGTTCTCCTCACCTCACCTCACCTCACCCTGTGCTTGCCTGCATGTCTGGAAGCCCGGACAAGCCGAACTAGTGAGTGAAACTGGCACAGTTTCCTGCTGCTTCTATGCGTCCTTGTTGCCAGGACTGGTATGGTATGCTCTCGCTCTGTTAGGCTTGTAAGAGCTCTTTACATAAGCGAACCAGGTTTTGGAGTTGGCTCAAAAGAGGCGTAGCCACATGGGTGAGAAAGCCAGCGCACAAGTCATCCAGCAATGGACGGACTTGTTCCGTGCTGCTCGGATTTGGACCAACGGAGCCGGGGGTGACATGACATCATTGTCATGGTGGCACAAGTCTGGTTTCTTACATATTTTTAATTGGCCTGGCTTCCGGCTTAGCAGGTTTGGACGTGGTTGACTTGGCTCTAGTGCAACAAGTCTTGTTTTTTTTTTTTGTGAGGTGGGAGCATCGCTCTCAGGCTGTTCATGTGCCTGCTTCCTCATGTGCCTGCTTCCTCATGCACGGATCCAATTCTCGTTGTCCCCTCCTACGCATGTGCATGTGCACGTTTTCAGCTCCAAGCCATGACAGGCAACATCTTTTCCGCTGCTGCAACAAGTACTTATTATCAGCTTCCATGCTTCAAGTGAGTTGCTACGTTCTGTTTTTCCCATCAATCCATTGAGCTCCTGTCGACCTTCCATGTGCCACCTCCGTGCACAACGCACCAGCTGCCTGCCTGTTCGCCCCCAAGCGATCCTCACTGCGAAAGGAACCTGGGAGAACATGCTGCGACTGCAAGGTTGAGTGAGCCATACTCATTTAACCTCTGCGGGAGGGAGGATCACTTGAGGCACGTAGGCGCCCGCCCAAGTGCATCACCTGCTGCCAGAGCCCAAATAAAAGCTCGTCAGGTCTGGTGAGCCAGCCAGCGGCAGGTTGCATGGCCAGAAAAGGCAGTGGGTCCGCCAGCTGTGCAAGTCCACAGCCAGGGGAAAGGAGGCGACATGATCCGTTCAGTTTTAGCATGCCTTCGGGTCTGTGAGCCATTAAGCCACCTGTGAGCCTGGAATGGTTCTACCCAGGTCTTACGGTCTCAGAATGGAATGGCTTTGACATTTGAATCGACTCAGAAGTACCAGAATGGAATGGATTTGTAGCTAGTTTGTGTGCGCACGCTCTATCTGCTTTCGTGTACGCATGAGTGTGTGCGTCCAAGGCCAGTGTTTGCTGAGTGAGTCTACCACTGAAGATCCTGAGTCTTTGCGTCCTAGTCCACCCCTGATAGGGCAGAGCAGATCGTTTTGCCCAACAAGGAACCCCAAAGGTACACCTGCGAATTCTTGGAAGCTATCTTTGAGTCAACCCCACACCCTAGTGCCCTGATTCTGCTGGGGAAGAACTTACAAATGTATGCAACGCCTCTGCCTCGATTGCCGGTACTAGGAAAACCATAGACACGTTATAGAGCCTGGAGAAGCATGCATGGAACAGCCCATGGAGAGAGAAGGGTCACGCCCTCTGGTGAATGGCAGGGGCGGGCGAGACCGTGAGAGTGCTTGATGAGTGGCAGGGGTTGGCGAGCAGGCGTGCAGTAATGCGAGGCGAGGAAGTGCACAGTGTGGGTGGGCCTAGCAAAGCCTGCACGTCTGTGCTTCGTCCGTAGGCCTCAGTAGGCTGCCGAGGTCGACGGGAGTTTTTGCTCAGGAAGGCAGCGTGATCGTCTCGTCAATGTAACCTTGTCGGTACAGCCCAACGGTACACGCTTTTGAGAATTCTCAAAACTGCCCAACGGTACCCGCGGTACTGCCCAACATATAACCTTGTCGGTCCAACTTAGTGACCACCACTTCACTTCACACTGGCTCACCCACACCTCTGCATGCTCTTTTAAACCACTGACTTTGGTTGTGATAGTGAGTGGTTTTTCTATTCTAGTTTATCCTCTCTGAGCCCTGCTCCACTCAATCCCCTGACCTCACTGTCTCACTTTCTCCTTTGCTCGCTCACACAACAATGCTCCCTCGCAGGAACAAGAACAAGTCTGTCGACCCGTTCACCACCTTCCCCACCATCGACATTGCTTTCCTCAATCTTAGCGACACCAGCGCCACCTCCCACTTCTATCTCAAGCCTCACGAGTACCTCGCCCAGGTATAGCACGCATGCTTGACATTCATTCACAGGCTCCTTGCATCCATTCACAGGCTCCTTGCATCCATTCACAGGCTCCTTGCATCCATTCACAGGCTCCTTGCATCCATTCACAGGCTCCTTGCATCCATTCACAGGCTCCTTGCATCCATTCACAGGCTCCTTGCATCCATTCACAGGCTCCTTGCATCCATTCACAGGCTCCTTGCATCCATTCACAGGCTCCTTGCATCCATTCACAGGCTCCTTGCATCCATTCACAGGCTCCTTGCATCCATTCACAGGCTCCTTGCATCCATTCACAGGCTCCTTGCATCCATTCACAGGCTCCTTGCATCCATTCACAGGCTCCTTGCATCCATTCACAGGCTCCTTGCATCCATTCACAGGTCTCAGTCAGTCACCGGCCCTTGTAAAGGTCTCGTTTATCACAGAAACCGTCTATCATCAGTCTCAACTTCCGTACATATCAGTTCAGCCAATCGGATGCCAGAGCAGGACGAACATGGAGATCATGTTTCAGCTCCCACCCACATGCTCTCCTCTTTCCCCTCCCCTCTCCGCTGCCCTCTCCCTGCCTTCTCCCTTTCCGTTCTCGTCTTGAATACTCCCTCTCCCTCTTCCCTCTCGTCCCTTCTCTCCCTTTTCCCGTCCTCTCAACCCACATCCACGCGATCGGCTCATTCCTGTGCTCTCTCCATGCTCCACTCCTCCGTGCCATCTGAGCCCTAACTGGCCACTGAGTCTTCTTGTCAGAGCCTTTGAATGAGCTCGCTCAGTTGCTCAGTTGCTCAGTTGCTCAGTTGCTCAGTTGCTCAGTTGCTCAGTGGCTGTCGCTTGGGCAACTGACGACCCCCCTGTGCCACTCATCAACGCTCTTCCTCACTCCCATGCGGCCCCCGCAGGTTTCGGCTTCTGAATATTGCGTCTTGGCCAACTGGGTTTTTCCCGATAAAAAATATGTCAGCTTGATTGGAGGTACGAGGGTACCTAATGCACAACAGGGTTACCTACCGCACATTTGCACTCCTTTCTCTGCCTATGTTTCTGCCAGCAATATCCGCGTCCATTTTGAAAAAACTATTCCGAAGTAAGCTTCTGCTAGCTCTCTTCCTTCCCCTTCCCCACCGACCTACCGCTGTGCCGTGCTGTGCTGGCCATCCTCTGCCATCCACCACCCTCTCCACTCCACTCCACTCCACTCCACTCCACTCCACTCCACTCCACTCCACTCCCCTCAATACTCCTTCCTTCCGCCTACCAGCCGATGCAAGCCGAGAACTTGCCCAAGCAAGAAACTCGTTGCTGCACGCGACTTCTGGGGAGGAGAGTCTGTGAAGTGACTCCTGCAACCAGACGTTTAAAGTGACTGTGGTTGGGTGCGGCGAATGTGACCATCTTTACCCTGCAGCCCGCAAGCAGGAGGGCGGATTGGCATTCATATTTTCGTTGCTCTTTGCCCTTGCCTGTCCCGCTTCCCTGCCGCCAAACACACCACTCCCGTTTCTCACTGCCTCCACTGCTCTGCATGCATGTGGCAATGAGCAGAGCCGGGGCTGTTCAACAAGTACCTCTCCCTCGACTATGACAACGGAATTGCAGGATGGATGGACGCCCCTCACTGTAAGCTGCTGCTCGCCCTGCCCAAACATATGCCTGCCCCTTCCATCTCTCAGCACACACACCCACCCCTTGTCCCTTGCGTCGCCCTTACTTTGTCTTGTTAGATTTCTCAGCACTGCTTTCTTTGGACATCCCCTCTCCTCCACTTGCTTTTGCTGTGGTTTGAAAGCAGTCAAATCGCTCACTTGCAACAGGCATACACAACAAATCTCTGTCCACGCAAAAGAAAAGTACCCAAATCCATGTGCAGTGCACGGGTGCTTGCCCATTGTCTGCATGCTGCCCCGTTTCCTTTCGACCCATGCTTGTTATCTTCTGCTGCGTGCTTCTTGCTCGATATTTCCTCACTTGCCTCACACCCCTTTCTGCTGCTTCCCTCCTCACTTCTCCCCTCTCCTCTCCCCTCCTCTCCTCTCCTCTCCTCTCATCTCCTCTCCTCTCCTCTCCTCTCCTCTCCTCTCCTCTCCTCTCCTCTCCTCTCCTCTCCTCTCCTCTCCTCTCCTCTCCCCTCACTTCCCTTCCCGCTCATCCCAACAGGTAGAGCTGAGCCTCTGCTGCCGCCACCCTCCCCGCCTCCACCACCCTCGCCTGTTTCCAGTGGGGCCACCCACTCCCTCTCTCCGCTCCCAGCAGCACTCTCAGCTGCCATTGTCCTTGCCACCTTCGTTGCTCTGCTTGCTCTCAGCCTCCTGTAGAGCCTGACTTCCTCCCTGGAGCATTTTGCCTCAGGAGCATCCACTGTCGCATGCTAGCCTGCTAGTGGGAGCTTACCAGACTTGTGGCCTGCTGTGAGTACTATTCCACTCCACCAGTCAAGTGACTGGTTGGATCTGTATTTAGCTGCCTGGAATGACCTTTCCGCTGCCCCCTCTGAGGGCCAAATGTTGCTTCTTTTATGTGGACTATGATAGTTAGTGCTTCCTGTGGGAGCGTCAGATGCACCTTGTTGGTGATGTCAACAATCAGTCGCAAGTGGTACAATCACCATATTTGGTGCGATCTTTACTACAAGTGAGTGGCCACAGCTAGAGCGAGAGAGAGACACATCATGAGGGGCACACGGAAAAAGTGGTAAGAGCCAGGAGCAACTGAAGGACCTCACTTATCCACACAGGGCCCGAACCTGGTTGTAGGACACGGGCCCGAACCTGGTTGTCGAAAATTGCGTGCTCATTTGTTGTGATTTCTGTTTGTATTTGTCTCTCGCTTATACTGTACAGAACTTCAGCCTCTTTGGGTACCATCTCAAGCCCGTTGACGACGAGCATGCCAAGTCAGGCAACTATCTTCTTGCAGCCAGAATTGACTTTGTGTGCTGTACTCTCTTCCTGGGCTACACTCTCACTGTCATTCTTCTCTACACTCTCTAGATGCGCATCTTTCTATTTTGGATCTTGATTGTCAGTCAACTTGTTGCCATGTACCGGTGTGCATTTTTCTTGTGTTACAACTTCTCTCATTAGTATTATGGTACTCATGTGCAACCCTCATTCTACTGTAAAATCCACTCAAAACAGTTCACTCCTTGACATTAAACCAACACGCCCCCTCACTCCCCTCCCCTTCCTCCCTGACCTGAGGTCTATAATTCTGGGGGGGTCCATTCATTACACGGATAATTACGGTACATGGCAACAAGTTGACTGACGATCAAGATCCAGAATACAAGGACGCACACATCTAGAGAGTGTAGAGCAGAATGACAGTGAGAGTGTAGCCAAGGAAGAAGAGAACACAGCACACGAAGTCAATCCTAGATGCGAGAGTGTAGTTGCCTTCACCAGCGTGCTCCTCGTCGGCAGGCTTGAGGTGGTACCCGAAAAGGCTAAATTTCTGTATCAAGATACGGTAGAAACAGGAAAGATACGGTACAGGCAAAGTTCACAACAAATGAGCACGCAAGATCAAAAGTTGCTGCAGGGTGAGAGAGAATGCGATGTACAACAGGGCACACACCAAACTACGGGACCATGGACAGGGCACGTCAACACCCCCAAGAAAGCACATCGTAGCTCCACATGCCTTGCATCAAAACGATAACCAACCAAACAAGCACATCTCCCACCTACCACACACACGCACGCCCACTCACCCAGGTAGGGCCCTCCGCTCTCTGAAGTGGCGGCTTTTCGGGGTTCAGGCAGGCCGCTAGGGGCTTCACTCCTCCCCCACTGCAGGCTGCACTCTTGGTGTCCCCCACCTCCTCATCATCCTCATCTGTCAGCACCAGACACAGCTCCTGACTCTCCTCCCCTGCGCCTTCAGCCTTGCTGGAGACAACCGCACACGCACTCTCCACCTTGGGTGGGCTTTCGGCCTCTGGCTCAGTACGGGAGTTCCACGAGGTGCGTGTGGCTGCCGCCGCCATGTCCCCCACGGTCTCAACCACATCCTTCTCCAGCTGCACACGGCGCCACACAGCGGCACAGCGCGGCACAGATCGGCACACAGCGGCACACAGCGGCACACAGCGGCACAGTGCGGCACAGAGCGGCACAGCGGCATAGAGCGGCACAGAGCGGCACAGAGCGACACAGAGCAACGCAGGGCGGCACAGGGCGGCACAGAGCGGCACAGAGCGGCACAGAGAGGCACAGAGCAGCACAGAGCGGCACAGAGCCGCACACAGCAGCACACAGCAGCACGAAGCACACAGCAGCACACAGCAAGCAAGCAAGTGCAGTGACGAAAAGAGAAAGATCACAAGTAAGCAACCGTCAAACAAGGCAAGGCACAGAGGAGGCTGGCAGCAGGTGGCAGATGAAGAGAGGTAGGGCAGGGCAGGGCACGGCAGGGCAGGGGTGACTGACCCGTTCGGCAATGACGTAGACAATAAGGGTTTCGAGGGCGGTGAGCGAGATGAAGACGTATGAGATGATGACCAGATAGCCAAACTGCGTCATCACTGATGAGCGCGGCAGCTGCATGGAGGGGTGGTGGGGGAGGGAGGGGGAACGGAGCAACAAGGATAGGGGCCGAGGAAGGGGGTCAGAGGGGGGGAGGAGAGAGAAATGCGTTAATTGAGACTGCATTTGAGGTGTGACGTATCCACTGTGTACACCCTGTGCGAATGGAGATGGAAGGCGATGCGAGGCCTCACCCACCCACCCATTAACCCACCCACGCACCCACGCAACCACACACCCATCCACCCATCCACCCAGGAACCCAGTCAGTCACCCACCTGGCTGTCAATAACGAACTGCACGGCTGCAAGGGCAAGGAAAAGCGTGACAAAGGTGGCGGATCGAGTCTCAAGGTCGTCGGGGCGAGCGAAGAACACGGAGAAGCAGAGATACACACTCAGCGTCACAGGCACCATGATCTGACAGGGATGGGAGGGGGGCACACGTGCAAGGGATGACTACTTGTAGACGCCAGAGATGCAAGGCACAGGCATTGGTTGCGACTAAAATGGAGCTATGAGATAAAGATGGTGATGGAAATCGCAATGGGGATGGCATGGGGATGGGGATGGTGATGGTGATGGGGATGGCGACGGTGATGGTGACATGGAAGGAATTGGCGAGTGAGAGGCGTGGGGAGAGAGAGGCACACCGAGATGATGAAGACGCCACTGGTGCGCGAGATCTGGATGGTGAACACACACGATGTGGACTCGTTCACGTTGCTGCTGCTGCTGCCACTGTCTGACGGAGAGTTTTGATTGAACGTGTACCAGGGGTCATCTGCACAGCCACACGTACATGGCAGCACGCGTGACAACATGCATGGCAGCACGCATGACAACATGCATGGCAGCACGCATGACAACATGCATGGCAGCACGCATGACAACATGCATGGCAGCACGCATGGCACCGGACATGCAGCTCAGTGATGAAGTTGAAGAAACAACTAGGAATGAGTGGGGATGGTCATGGTAAGTGCCCATGGTTGCCAGGAGAGTAAGCAGCGGTGGTGACTACAAGGAGCGTAGGTGGCGGAGGTGGTTACCGGGAGAGAAGAGGTGGTTACCGGGATGGTAGGTGGCGGAGGTGGAGACGGTGGTTTGGGAGGGAGTGCAGTTGAGGCCCACGTCGTTGATCTTCCAGCCCGTGACCTCATCATTCACGTACGTGCCTCCCCCTCCCCCCAGGTTCCCGCCCCCCTGCTCCGACTGCCGCCCTGAATTGCTCCCCACAAGGTAGAACTCGCCGCTCTCCACCTGAATGCTCAGCCGCAGCGTCTGCCGTGTGTGCCATGCAGGAGGGGCGGGGTAGGGGCGGAGGGAGGGATGTGGTTGTGATGCGGGAAAGAGGAGGGGGTGTCAGTGTTTTGTCCCTATTCACTTGTCTGTGTGTGGATGCGTGCGTGTGTGCGTGTCAGTTCAAAGGGGTGGGAGTGAGAGAGCGAGTGCGGGACAAGAGGATATATGTGAGAGACCCACCTGAGAGTCAAGAGGAAACTTTTTGAAGCTGAGGGGTGAAGAGAACTCGCCTGTTGCACACACACACGCACATCAACACAGGCACACGCGCGAAAGCACATCGAAAAGTGCGCACATACACACGACCACACGCACGCACACACACACGGCAGAAGATAACGTGTGTGTGAGTGAGCTCTAGGAGACGCACAGAACTCATTGGTTGGTTGCACGATTGCATGCAGTAGTGTTGGTGGAGGCGGTGTGGTGATGCCATGGAAGAAGAGGTAGAGCAGGATATGGCAGGCGAGTGGACACATGCGAGAGAGAAGGAAAGACGAGGGAAGTTGGAAGGAGGAGGGAAGCGGGTTGGAGGGAGGACTGAAGGGGAGTGACGGGAAAGGAGGGGAGTGGAGGGAAGGGAGGGGAGTGGAGGGAGAGGAGGGGAGAGGAGGGAGACGAGGGGAGTGGAGGGAGAGGAGGAGAGAGGAGGGAGAGGAGGGGAGTGGAGGGAGAGGAGGGGAGTGGAGGGAGACGAGGGGAGTGGAGGGAGAGGAGGGAGAGGAGGGGAGTGGAGGGAGAGGAGGGGAGTGGAGGGAGAGGAGAGGAGTGGAGGGAGAGGAGAAGAGAGGAGGGAGAGGAGGGGAGTGGAGAGGGAGGAGGGGAGTGGAGAGATGAGGGGAGGAGGGGAGAGGAGGGGAGTGGAAGGAGGAGAGGAGGGAGTGGAAGGAGAGGAGGGAGAGGAGGAGAGAGGAGGGAGAGGAGGGGAGTGGAGAGGGAGGAAGAGAGTGGAGAGAGAGGAGGGGAGTGGAAGGAGAGGAGGGGAGTGCAAGGAGAGGAGGGGAGTGGAAGGAGAGGAGGGGAGTGGAAGGAGAGGAGGGGAGTGGAAGGAGAGGAGGGGAGTGGAAGGAGAGGAGGGGAGTGGAAGGAGAGGAGGGGAGTGGAAGGAGAGGAGGGGAGTGGAAGGAGAGGAGGGGAGTGGAAGGAGAGGAGGGGAGTGGAAGGAGAGGAGGGGAGTGGAAGGAGAGGAGGGGAGTGGAAGGAGAGGAGGGGAGTGGAAGGAGAGGAGGGAGTGGAAGGAGAGGAGGGGAGTGGAAGGAGAGGAGGGGAGTGGAAGGAGAGGAGGGGAGTGGAAGGAGAGGAGGGGAGTGGAAGGAGAGGAGGGAGTGGAAGGAGAGGAGGGGAGTGGAAGGAGAGGAGGGGAGTGGAAGGAGAGGAGGGGAGTGGAAGGAGAGGAGGGGAGTGGAAGGAGAGGAGGGGAGTGGAAGGAGAGGAGGGGAGTGGAAGGAGAGGAGGGGAGTGGAAGGAGAGGAGGGGAGTGGAAGGAGAGGAGGGGAGTGGAAGGAGAGGAGGGGAGTGGAAGGAGAGGGGAGTGGAAGGAGAGGAGGGGAGTGGAAGGAGAGGAGGGGAGTGGAAGGAGAGGAGGGGAGTGGAAGGAGAGGAGGGAGTGGAAGGAGAGGAGGGAGTGGAAGGAGAGGAGGGGAGTGGAAGGAGAGGAGGGGAGTGGAAGGAGAGGAGGGGAGTGAAGGAGAGGAGGGGAGTGGAAGGAGAGGAGGGAGGAGGAGAGGAGGGAGTGGAAGGAGAGGAGGGGAGTGGAAGGAGAGGAGGGAGTGGAAGGAGAGGAGGGGAGTGGAAGGAGAGGAGGGGAGTGAAGGAGAGGAGGGGAGTGGAAGGAGAGGAGGGGAGTGGAAGGAGAGGAGGGGAGTGGAAGGAGAGGAGGGGAGTGGAAGGAGAGGAGGGGAGTGGAAGGAGAGGAGGGGAGTGGAAGGAGAGGAGGGGAGTGGAAGGAGAGGAGGGGAGTGGAAGGAGAGGAGGGGAGTGGAAGGAGAGGAGGGGAGTGGAAGGAGAGGAGGGGATGGACGGGAGGAGCACCTCCAACGACGACTTCTCTGTCGACCGAGCTGGCCTCGTTGCTGTACTGCCCGAAGAAATAGATGCTCTCTGCGCTAGAAGCGGTGAGGGAGGAGAGAGCGGGGGGGAGGGACAGAGGGAGAAAAGAGAGAGAGGGAAATGGGTGGGGTGGGAGGAAGTGTGGGAGGAAGGGAGGGGAAGGGCATGATGAGGAGGAATACAAGAAAATGGGGATTACACAAGGATGGGACGTTAATGCCAACTGGGGTATCGGTAGACAGGTAGGTGCGAGGGCGTGTGGCATCTGTGGGCAGTGAGAGAGGTGCATGCACGCAACCGAGGAAGCAAGGGACTGAGCGAGCGACGGGAGCGGGCGAGGGAGGTGAAAGGTTTGGGAGCGGTCTGACCCGTTTGGAAGCGGTGTTAGGGGTAGAAGAGGACGTTACCGGTTTGGAAGCGGTCCTGCGGGTAGAAAAGAACATTGTCGATGGTGAGCGAGGGGATCCAGATGGAGTCGCAACACGTGGTGCCGGACGGCGTGCACGGCTTATTGCAGCCGTCCATCTGCGGCAGGTTGTTCTGCTTGGGCGTCTTGAGGCACTCGTCCTTCTGGCTGATGTTGAACCCCGAAAACGTCACGTCCGGCTTGCACTTGGCCGTCGCCAGCCCCGTGATGGCCGGCCCGAACGCGTTCACCGCGTTGTTTATCGCCAGCGTGTCGTTCACTGCCGGCCGCTCGCACGCACGCACGCACAGGCAGAGGCAGAGGCCGCACACACACGCGCACAGGCCCCACACACCCACGCACAGGAAGAGGCAGAGGCAGAGACAAAGTGGCAGAGGCAGAGGGCAGAGGCATGGGGACAATGTGAAAGAATTAATTAGGGTCATTCAAAATCGTGACAAAATGCAGTGCTGCTTTGTGCGTGTGCTTCGCACTGCGTGTGCTTCGTACTGCGTGTGCTTCGTACTGCGTGTGCTTCGTACTGCGTGTGCTTCGTACTGCGTGTGCTTCGTACTGCGTGTGCTTCGTACTGCGTGTGCTTCGCACTGCGTGTGCTTCGTACTGCGTGTGCTTCGTACTGCGTGTGCTTCGTACTGCGTGTGCTTCGTACTGCGTGTGCTTCGTACTGCGTGTGCTTCGTACTGCGTGTGCTTCGTACTGCGTGTGCTTCGTACTGCGTGTGCTTCGTACTGCGTGTGCTTCGTACTGCGTGTGCTTCGTACTGCGTGTGCTTCGTACTGCGTGTGCTTCGTACTGCGTGTGCTTCGTACTGCGTGTGCTTCGTACTGCGTGTGCTTCGTACTGCGCGTGCTTCGCACTGCGTGTGCTTCGCACTGCGTGTGCTTCGCACTGCGTGTGCTTCGCACTGCGTGTGCTTCGCACTGCGTGTGCTTCGCACTGCGTGTGCTTCGCACTGCGTGTGCTTCGCACTGCGTGTGCTTCGCACTGCGTGTGCTTCGCACTGCGTGTGCTTCGCACTGCGTGTGCTTCGCACTGCGTGTGCTTCGTACTGCGTGTGCTTCGCACTGCGTGCTACGTGCTGGTAGCACCACGGCGTTGATACGACGAGCACACATTGGCATCGCCACGAGAGTGGACGACAACTGACCCAACGGCAAGGCCGCGAAAGGCGGAACGTGGGGCGGCGCGAGGCCAGCAGCAGCAGAGGGAACGGCGAAACACACCTCGAGGGTCTCTCCACGTGGCAACAACTTGAAAATACGCCATGTAGCTGTACTTGACGGCTGCAGGGGGGGGACGAGACGACCAGGGAGGGACGGGACGGGACGATGGATGGAGGGCGATGTCGGTGCGGGTGTCACATCACATGAGATCCTCATCATGTCACACACAACATGGTGTTGTGGAATGGCCCGCCCCTTGCACCCCAGGTTGTATGTGGTGGGAGGAGAAAGAGGAGAGTGCGTGCGCGCGCGCGCGCAGGCGCGTGTGCGTGCGGCGAGTGCGGCAATGCCGCGTGCGGAACAAGGCGATGAAGCTGGGTACTACTACGGCTCACCGTCGACGGTGACGAGTTTCTTGAGCTGGACGGAGAGAAACACTTTGGGCTTTTCCGCCACGATCCCCGCCGTGTACGGGTCGATGCCCTGACCAATCAACGGGCAGTCCGTCTGCGCTGCCGCCAGCTGAACGCCTCCGCAATTGGCGCCGAAATACGCGGTCCACGGGAGCAGCACGATTGCGAGTCGCAGCGCGAGGGACAACTGCGACTCCCTCGGATCAGCGATACGAACCGCCATCGCCTCTGTCCGGAGTACGAGAGTCAAGGTGACTCTTGATTACTACAAGACGATTACTACGAGAAAGGAATGGCGCAATGCGTGTGGTGGTGAAGGAACCAACTCCCGGTGAGAGAATGTTGAATCGCCAACGCCGGAGCCTTCGTTTCTTACTGCTATGCTGTGAGGGGTGTATCTCTGTGCGGGCGCGTGAATGGGTCATGGCTGGGATGCAGCGGGTGTGTGTCTGGACTGGAGGACGAATCACGGGAGGATTTGGGGGGGTGGGGGGGGTGTCCGCCGCCGCGTGGGTGCAGGGGGGGAAGGGGAGGTATAACGCCTCGCTACTACCCACTGGGTCAGGGGCTATACTTGAGGCGCAGCGGAGGCACTCAACCCTTACGTGCGAGCCCCCCCTGCAGGCGTTACAGGAGGGAATGGGGGGGTCCGTCGCATTGGTGCACCGGGGGGAGCGGAGGGGGATCCGACGAATTGGTGCAGGTATGGATGGATGACTCATCGGAGGTATGGGGCGGCGGACACGCGTGATAGGTTAGAAACTGATCGCCTGGGCGCCGAACCTCCGTATCGATTAGGTCTCTCGACTCGTTCCGTGTGGTTCGGATTGGAGGAAGGAAGTCGCGGCTACATAGCTACAATGGAGGAGAGACTATTGCACAAGTCTTCCGAGCTAACATGGCGTTACTTTCCTGAGAATGTCCAATCCACCCAACGAAAGTGCAATGACTGCATCACTTTAGGTCCAGCGTGGCACCTATCCCACGTGCCGTGCAATTCTCCAGGTCCAGTCGACAAAGATTGAAAATCCGCATCCAATTGACCTGCCAAGTCTCGAGTACAGTATGCTCATCGCGCTTTCGTGAAAGTCTGCAGCTACATATCAGCTCTGATTCTTCCAACCCAATGCAGCGTAGAACATACTCCATACCAAACCCACCGGCGAAGGACTAGGGATTGTGTTGTGTGTGGGACCGCTCAAACCGAAATGAAAGCGAACCTCACCTCCCCCCCACCCCACCCTCCCCTTTCAATCCTGTGGCCCGTCTCCTTGACTAGTCGCGCTACTTCCCTCCCGCGCAACGCATCTCTCCCCGCGCCCACGCCACCATGACCTCCACACCCACCCCACCGCACCCGCGGTCATCCCCCCTCACGCGACTCGGCTCTCGGCTCAGTCGCTCCTCTCCTCTTCTCACACCCCGCTTCTCACCGCGGCAGAGAGCGCTGTTTTGGCGGAGCAAAGCTTGGCTTTCCATTCCACAGCGGTCAGCCTTTGAGAAGTAGCCTCTTGGTCGTTATTCCGAATCATCCGCGCTCGATTTAGTTTGTTCGCGATCGTCATTGCCACTGCTCGATGACAGCATGATGCCCGAGTCGTCCTCCGTCGTCCGCCGCCAAACCTTGTCGCTATCCAATCAACGCCGTTTCCAACCGCGCCGGATGCCGACTCCCCATGCCGCGCCGATTCCGCTGCTGCTGCTGCTGCTACTCACGCTCCTGGCGCCGGCGGATGAGCGCGCCGGCGGAGGCGGCGGAGTGCGCGGGGCGGTGGCGCAGACGGACTGTCCGCTGGTGGGGCAGGGCATCGACCCGTACTCGGCGGGGCTGGTCGACAACAAGCCGCCCGTCTACGTCTCCGTGCTCCTCAAGAAGCTCGTCGCCGTCGACGGTACTATGCCGCGCGCTAGTACTACTACTCCCTGCGCCGTCCCCTTACATCCGCACCACCCTCCCCCTCCCCCTCCCTCCCCCCCCCCCCCCCCCCAACGGCCCGCCTCCCCTCTCGCCCTTTTAGCGGCCATCAGTGAATTCGCGCGTGCGCCCATGATAAGCTCCTCCCTCGCCGCCCTTCGTCCCTTCCCGCTAAAAGAATGGCCTACTCAAGTGGATGCCATTTGAAAGCAAGTCCTAAACGTTGTCTAAACTGCTCTGAAAGGCTGGTTCTCAGCTTGGTACCCGAATCAGGGTCATATGTGAGCTTAATCACACGGCCCTCCCCTCTCCCCGCTCCCCCCCCACCTTTCCCTAAACGCGCCGCGCATTGCGGCGAGCAGAGGTCCAGTACAGCTACAGCGCCTACTTCTCCATCGTCACCACCTGGCGCGACCCGCGAGGTGCGTGCTGCGTGCCGCGTCACCTACCCACTGCAGATCGCATCGCACTACCACTGCCGTCATCCTAGCGGCCCGCCGTGCTGCTAGTCCGCCCTCGTTACTTCCCCTTCCCTGTCGCCGCCGTGCCGTGCATTATACTTGGGTTGCTTCGCGCTTGCGCACTGGCTATCGTCTCATAGTGGGATTATCCGCGTTCACGGCTGGCATGGCATGGCGTGGCGTGGCGTGGCATGGCGTGGCATGGCGTGGCGTGGCATGGCGTGGCATGGCGTGGCATGGCGTGGCACGGCGTGGCGTGGCATGGCGTGGCGTGGCGTGGCGTGGCGTGGCGTGGCATGGCATGGCATGACGTGGCACGGCATGGCAAGGCATGACGTGGCACGCATGACGTGGCATGACGTGGCATGGCAGTGAACGACACGGTGGCAATCAACAAGGTGCTGTCGGCGGTGGGGCCAGCTTTGACGTGGAAGGCTGTGGAGGACTGCAAGCCCAACGTGACGTTCTCAGGGTTCAACATCAGCCAGAAGGACGAGTGCCTCAAAACCACCAAGCAGGTCGTTCGTCACGGGAATGGCGGCGTGGGGTGTGGGGTGTGGATGGGGGACCCGCGGGGCAAGGGAGACGCAGCCTTGAGCGAGATGGGCGGGCGCGGGGCTGGGGCATGTGCGGATGGGGTGGTGATGCACCTACCTGCTTGACGCTTTAACCCACCACCACCACCACCACCACCACCGCCGCCACCACCACCACCACCACCACCACCACCACCACCACCACCACCACCACCACCACCACCACCACCACCACCACCACCACCACCACCACCACCACCACCACCACCACCACCACCACCACCACCACCACCACCACCACCACCACCACCACCACCACCACCCCACCAGCACCAGCAGCAGCAGCAGTAGTAGCACCACGTTTGGTGGCGCCATATCATCATTGTCGTTTTGCTCATTGCTTTTCCTTCCTGCCTGTTCCGCCCCATCCCCCTGCGTGCGACCCGGAGAGCAGAACAACCTCCCGCAGATGGACGGCTGCAGCAAGCCGTGCACTCCGGCAGGCATCACGTGCTGCGACTCCATCTGGATCCCCTCGCTCACCATCCCCAACGTCGTCCTCTACCCGCAGGACCGCTACCAGACTGGTGAGATGCCATGCAAGCAGGGCATTACTTTTGATTGGACTCCAGCGTCATGCGAGCAGGCATTAGTTTGTGTGTGTGTGTTTCGTGAACCAGCTCACGGGGCTCACACCTTCCAAGGGGACGGGCACACAGAGCAATGCAGCCTCGGTGTGCAGAGATCATTTTGAGCCCACGCATGCTATGCTATTCCACGCCATGAGTCCATGACATGCCATGCCACGCTGTGCCATGGCAGATATTTGCTAGGAAGCATGCAATGCACATGCATGGCACTGCGGACCAATCTCTGCCTCCCTGTTTTCCCCCTCGTGTCCTCCTCGTGCGTGTGGGTGCATGCAGAGAGCATATTCTTCTTTGGCGATTACAGCACAGATGCCAGTGCCGTCGACAGAGAGTCCATCGTTGAAGGTGCGTCATCTCCTCCTTGCCATCCACATGCTATTCTCTTCTCTTCTCTGCTCTTTTCTTCTCTTCTCTTCTCTTCTCTGCTCCTCTCTGCTCTTCTCTGCTCTGCTCTGCTCTGCTCTGTTGCATTGGTCCACCAATGTCCGCTCTGACCTTGGATCGCTCGTGTATCTGCCCTTCAGCCACATCCAAGCCACCTCTCCTCTCTTTCTCTCTCTCTCTCTCAAACGGTCCTTTGTATTAAATCAGCAGGGGTACAAACGAACAAGCAGTTTTATCCATGATAACCTCGATTCCTGAAGCCCATTAACTCACCCCTACCCTATCCCCACCCCCCCCCCCCCCCCCCCCCCCCCCCCCCCCCCCCCCCCCCGAGTGACCCTCTAGCCCTCCAGCGTGTGGAGGATGTCCCCCAGGTGCAGCGGCCAGGGGTCCGCTGCCATCTGGGGGTGCGCCTCGATCCCAGCCCTGGCCTTGGTGTGCAGGCGTGGCCTCTCTCTCTTTCTCTCTCCCCCCCATATCCCCCCTCTCTCCCCTCTCCCTCCCCCCCCCCCCCGGTCTCTCTCTCTCTCCCTCTCTCCCCCTCTCCCCATCGAGCAGGAACCTTCTCCTCGCCCTTCACCTTCCAACGATTCCCCTTTGACACCCAGGTAAGGCTGCATGGATTCTTGAGTCGACTCAAAAGTCACCCCTTTGACTCCCAGGTAAGGCTGCATGGATTTTCTCACCGCCTCCTTTCACTCCTTTTATTTCACGGTTCTCTCAACCTCCCCTTTAACTGCCACTGTCGTCTACTAATCTAAATTTCCACCTAAGGGCACCAAGAAGCGTCCTCACCCATCCTCATACGGTTAATGCATGGGGGCCGACGCAGGTACCTCAACCCCGCCCTCTTCCGTATCCCACATCTTCTCCTCTCACTTCCCTGCATTTCCTCCTCTGCCTCGCGTCTCCCCACCTCGCTCGTCCCCCCAACTTTCCCCGCAGGTCCTGCGATTGGTGGTGGCAGTGGAGGGCAGCGGCGAGTTCTACCTGGTGGGGAGCAACTCGGGGCGGCAGTCGGAGCAGGGGGGCGGGCAGCTGGGGGGAGGGGGAGGCACGTACGTGAATGATGAAGTCACGGGCTGGAAGATCACCAGTGTGGCGCTCAACTGCACTCCCGCTGACACCACCGTCAGCAGCTCCGCCTCCTACCATCCCGGTGAGCTTCGTCACGTGGCGTGGGTGTGTGCACGTGTGCGCGTTTATGTGTGTGTGCCTGAGAGCACTTGCTGTTCTTCCTCTGCTCTCACCCCTCCTTCCCCCACCCCTGTCTTCCACCCCTTCCTCTTCTCCCACCCCTCCCTCTGCTCCCAACCCCACTGCGCTCCCCTCCCCTCTCCCCTCCCTTCCCTCTGCCCCACTAACTGCGCCTCCCACATGCACCCACATGCACCCACCTGCTGCTGCCTGCTGCTGCTGCGCGCTCGCCCCTCAGAGGACCCGTGGAACGCCGTGCCGGACAGTGCCAGCAGCAGCAGCAGCAGCAGCGGTGGCGCGGGCAGCAACCAGAGCGCCACGTGCATCTTCACCATCCACATCCAACGCACCAGCGGCGTCTATGTCATTGCTGTACGTTCCAACTCCGCCCTCTTATCTCAGTCGCGGCCAGTCTCCTCTTCAATCCGGGGCTGCCCTCTGCCTCTCTCATCCACACATCATCCCGCCTCCCTCCCTCCCTTCCCATCTGCCTCTCTCCGTTCTCTCATTCGTGTGATCTCATATGCTGCATCATCTGTACCTTGATGCCATTCCTTTTCTCGACTATGTCCCCCCCTTGGTTGCTGGCCCATAACCTGTATTTGCAAACTCTCCTTCCACTGTCTCGTGCAATCACCCACTCCCTCCCTGCCTCCCATAAGCCCCCCCCCCCCCTCCTCCTCCTCCTCCTCCTCCTCCTCCTCCTCCTCCTCCTCCTCCTCCTCCTCCTCCTCCTCCTCCTCCTCCTCCTCCTCCTCCTCCTCCTCCTCCTCATCCTCGCCCGTCTCACTTTCTCTCTCCTCTCACTCCTCTCTCTCCTCTCTCTCCACTCTCGCCTCTCACTCCTCTCTCTCCTCTCACTCCTCTCTCTCCTCTCTCTCTCCACTCTTTACTCTCTCTCTCCTCTCTCTCCTCTCTCTCCTCTCTCTCCCCTCTCTCTCTCTCTCTCTCTCTCTCTCTCTCTCTCTCTCTCTCTCTCTCTCTCTCTCCTCCCTCTCTTTCCTCTCTCTCCTCCCTCTCCTCTCTCTCCTCTCACTCCTCTCGTCTCTCCCCTCCCCCGCCCCACCAGGTGCTGCTGCCGGTCATCCTGAGCGTCTATCTCACATTCACGGCCTTCATAGCAAAGCCAGAGGATCTCGAGATTCGATTGGGGGCGTGCCTCACGCTCTTCCTTGCACTCGTAGCCATTCAGTTCGTCATTGACAGCCAGGTTCGGCATTGACAGCCAGGTTCGGCATTGACAGCCAGGTTCGGCATTGACAGCCAGGTTCGGCATTGACAGCCAGGTTCGGCATTGACAGCCAGATTCGGCATTGACAGCCAGGTTCGGCATTGAAAGCCAGGTTCGGCATTGACAGCCAAGTTCGGCATTTACAGCCAGGTCCGTCATTGACATCCAGGTCGCTCCAATCACCCTTCTCACAATCTCTATCTTGTAATACACTGTATTCGTTTTTCTCCATTACTATCGCTTTCAATCTCCGCCCGTCCTTGCTGCAGCAGTCCCACACCTCTAACACTCTGTCTTTCCATTACCCTCCTCTCCCAATGTACGCAGCCTTCTCCTCCGCCCTTCTCTCCCCCTCTCTCGCCTCAGACCCCGCTTCAAAAACCAAAACCCCTACTCCTCTGGTCATCCAACGCTGTCTTGGCAATCCCCTCCCAAATCCCTTTCCTTCCCCCTCCTTCTTTCCTCCCCTTCCCGTCCCCTGCATGCATGCAGTTGCCGCGCACGTCAGCGATAACCAACTTTGGGTATCTGATGATAGTCTCATACATTGTCATCTGGCTCTGCACCATGGAAAACCTCATCGCCTTCTGCATTGCCGAGCGCATCGAGAAGAACGTGCAGGAGCTCGTGCAGGACGCACTGCCGCCCGCTCTCGTAAACAATCACTCTGCTGCGGACAAGGCAGCGGGCGAGAAGCTGATGGGCGGTGGGGGGGAAGGCGTGGAAGGCGTTGACAGCAACGACCCTGAAGCCATTGCTGAAGCTGCAGCGGAGCGGAGGGCTGCTGCAGCTGAGGAGAAGCAGAAGAAGAACGTCCCGGGCCTGCTGGTATGTCCCACTGGGCTGCGTGCTGCTGCTTCTGTTGTTGCTGCTGCTGCTGTTGCTGTGGGTGGGTCTAGTTAGATGTTCCTTGCAGTCGACCCTGCTGCGTTTCCAATACCAGACCGCAATACCATACCATCTAACCTCCTCTCCCCCGGACCGAATTGTTTCTTTTTTCTTTACAGAGATTCCGATTGTTTGGCTACCATGTGAAGGCATCCAACCCCGAAAGAGCCAAGGAAGGGAACTACCGGCTTGCAGTCAAAATAGACCTTATTGTTGGTCTTTTTCTCTTCACTGGTTACACTGTCACCTGGATAGTTCTGTGCACCACTTGATTGACACTCTTTATTTGACAAACCATGCAGGTTAGTACGGTACCAGAGTTAACAAATGATGGCGGCAGACTGTGTTGGCATAGTGGGTACGCTTCTGGACTGGTACCGTGGTATATGCTTGCTTCAATTTGGGCTGCTCAGTCAAGAAAGCATTTTTATGAGCTTGCTCGATCTGAGCTCAGATTTCTCTTATTCGCCTCCAAAACAGGGCTGAGATTCCGTAAACACCCTAAACTCTGAACACCAAGGGACTTTCTTCAGTCATTATTGTCAATGTACGCATTTATAACTTGCATGTGGACTACTGAAGTCTAGATTGAGGTGCACTATAGAGGGTACATGATTGCATATACCCGTTAGTACTTTCACATGGTAGAAATTCCTTTACTTTCATTCCTTTAGGTTAGGATCGTCACTTCCTTCTTGTCTACTCTCACCTACCGGTTGCACTAGTGCCATCTCCGCCTACTTCAATAATGTGTGCCCCTTCGTGGCCCCTCCCGACGCGCCCCCTTAGCGGCCCAATAGAGCGCCCCATGGGATGCCAAGGGAGCCCATGGGAACCCAATGGAACGCAAGAGAACTCACGAGAACCCCATGGAACCCATCGAAACCCAACGGAACCCATGGGAACCTATGGAAACGCACCGCCCCCTGCCCTGTCGCGCACCTCCCGTCGAGGCCTCTGTCGGCCTCTCCCTCTCCTCGCTGCGGCTTAGTCACGCCTGCAGCCGCCTCTCCCGTCTGCCGCACCCGCAACTACCGCGCCCACAGCTTCCGCGCCCGCTGCTGCCGCGCCTGCACTTGCCACTCGCACCTGCCGTGCTCACTGTTGCGCATGCTATTGCCCCGCCTGCAGCTCCAGCACCAGCCGCGCCAGCGCGAGCCACACCAGCGCCAGCAGCATCAGCACCAGCCGCGCTAGCACCAGCCATGCCAGCAGAGCCAGCGTCAACAGCGCCAGCGCACTGCAGTGATAGCACACGTCAGCCACTCCCCACCCCATACCAGCAGCGCCAGCGCGCCAGCCGCACCCGCCCGCGCGCCGCTCGCCTAAGCCGCGCACCAGCCCCGCACCTGCCTGTGTGCCAGCCCACACTGCCGCGCCGCCCATGCCAACTGCGCTGCTCCCGTGCGTGTCTACCTTGCACACGCTTGCATCTGCCACACCCAGTCATTCCTCTTTGCGTTGAGGGTCGGCATCTCGCCGCCCCTCATTCCTCCTCGCTTGCGCCGGCCACTGCGCCTCTTCAGACTTTGCACATTGAGTTTGGGGCCCTACCCCGGTCGTTGGGCCACGACAGGAGCACTACTTCCTTGCGTATGTAGACGAATTCTCCCGCTACACCACGGTGTTTCTCTTGGAGCGGAACGCCGGCGTGCCTGTTGCTTTGATCCCTTGGTTATTGGCCACTCTCACCCAGCGTGACTTGCCTATTCTTTGTTTACATTCCGAGCGGTGGTGGTGAGTTCCGCTTCAGCCGCCGTGCCCAGTTTTGTAGCGCGCAGGGCATCACCCATTCCTACACGCTCCCAGACTCGCCGTAGCATAATGAGGTTGCTGAGTGCCGCATAGGCTTGGTCATGGAGATAGCTTGTACCTCCATGGTTCGTGCCTATGCGCCCCATTTTATGTGGCAGTTTGCGGTCCACTAGGCCGTGCATTAGCTAAACCTGCGTCCAAGTGTCTTGCGCCCTTAGGATTCACCGACCCATCTATGGACTGGGTCCCTTGGTGTCGCGTCTGCGTTTCGCGTCTGGGCTTGCGTTGTGCACCCCCGTGATCTTTGCGCATACAAGCTCTCAACTTGCACCCTCCCTTGTGTTTTCCTTGGTTTACCGGTTGACGCCCCTGACTGTATGTTTTACCACCCTTCCTCCCACTTGTTGTTTCACTCTAGCGACGTCACTTTTGACGAGTCAATGTCCTATGCGCGCTATCCTACCCAGCCCCCCCTCTGCCTCTCTTCCTCACAGCCACTCTTCCTCCTGATCCCGCTCCTTCAGTAGCCCCCCTCCCCCCCCCCCTCCCGCGTCCTTCCCGCGGTCGCGCCTCTTTCACCTTGGTCCCCTTTGTCGTCCTCCCAGTCAACGCAGCAGCCTTCGGTGCTGCCGCAGCAGGTCATAGTGAACTCAAAGGGTGCTGACTCTGGGGGTGCTAAATCTGGAGGTTTTGACGTTGGAGGTGCTGGTTTTGGGGGTGCTGACGCTCGAGGTGCTGGTTTTGGGGGTGCTGGTGCTGGAGGTGCTGTTTCTGGAGGGGCTGGCACGGTGGTCCCACAATGTTCGACGAGGTTGCGGCTCCTAGAGTAGCAGCAACAGCAGTCGCCGCCGCTGCTCTAGTCGTCGCCCACTATGAGTGCACTTGGTCTTCTTGATCTCCGTTCTCCTTCGACAACCCACTCGTTGTTTCTGCATGTTTACGGTCAAATGATTCCTCTCTCGGACTCGTCTCTGGCGTGTTCTCTTCCTCAGTCATAGTTGTATTCTCCTCTGCTTCCTTCTCCATCTCTAGCCTCCATTCCTTGACACCATCATCCCCTAGGGGCTCGCTCCTCATCCCCTATTCCCAACCTTCACTCATTGCTCCTCCGTACTCTCCCTCCTTATGTTCGGCCTCCCTTTGTTCTCCCGTTGCCTCATATTTTGTCTCTCATTGTCTCTCCTCCACCTTTGTCTGACTACCTCCGTACTGCTCGCACTATACTCTTTCATATCCCCTCCTCTATTGTGAATGACCCTACTGCTCCTCCGCCCTCCGTCTCGACTCTTGTAGCCGCTGTCACTTACTTGCCTCCACCCGCCGCCTCGACTACGCCACTCAGTTGGTTTCTGTTGCTGCCCGTCCTCAGTCTGTCGGGGTCGTTCCTACCCTTGGCTGTGACGTCGTAGAAGGCAGGCAGTTTGAACTGGCTTTCTTTGTGGCCGCTGCTCCTCATCTCTGTTCCATGCTGCTATCTCATGAGGGAGACCTAGACGCTGTTGACATTCTGACTCCTCACACTTACTCTTAGGCAGTCTCGAGTGAGGGAGCGTATCAGTAAATAGCAGCCATAAACACGGAGGTCGCATCTTGGAGGTCCACGGGCACCTACGTCGACTCAGTTCCACTGGTCTTGCGCAAATTTCATGAACCAAACCCCAATCGGAAATTTGGGGGGGTGGGGGGAAGGGGGGCTTGTACGCTGATCAGGGTAGAACTCGATACATGAAATATTACCTCAACCCATCTGTGTAGCTAAAAACTAAACACTAACAGATCAGGGAAATCCATAATCTCGAAACATCTGTGTGTACTATCAAAACCATTCAGATAATCAAAATAGGCCATGTTCTTGAGAAGAAACGAGAATGAATGACTAAGGAATGAAAGTGATACAAGTATGCAACCCTAGAATTGTGTACCCCATATAGGCTACCCCACTACAGCCTACACGACATTATAATTTGACACACCCCCATAGGCAAAGTGGGGGAGAACAAGGGGTCACATGACCAGTCAAGCAAAGCAAAGCAAGCTCAGGGTGGATCACAAAGTCACCACACATTCCGAGCACAAGTTCAAGGCCACAAGGCCAGTTCACATGCAGGAGTACATATATATATAGAAGGCTAGACAAGCAAGAGCAGGGGTATATATATGTAACAGTACAAGCAAGGTCAAGAGGTGAGCAAGTGAGGCAAGACAGGCACAAGACCAAGCTGAGTACAGAAGCGCTGATGATCACAAGGCGGAAGTGCCTTGGTGAAGATATCAATAGTGTTGGCCTCAGTGGCCACGTACGCAAGACGCAGCTGACCACGCTGCTGCAGCTCACGAGCAAGGAAGTAGCGAAGAGCAATGTGCTTCGTTCTGTGCTCCAGTCTCTGCTCTCGACACAAGGCCAGCAAGGCCTTGTTGTCTACGTACAGCACTGGAGGAGAACGAGGCACCTCGCCAAGGTCAGTCAGCAGGTAGGTGAGCCAGCGAAGCTCCTGTACAGCCATGGCCCCGGTGTAGATCTCAGCCTCACAACTGGAGCCGAGAACAGAAGACGAGCGGGTAGCCCGCCACGAAATAGAGCCGGAGCCAAGGCTGAAGGTGTAACACTGTGACGACCGCTGCGTAGCCTGGTCGTCCGCCCAAGAAGCGTCTGCGTGCCCAGTGAGGACCACTGGACTCCGCCCTCCAAGCACAAGCCCCATGCCCGACGTACTGCACAAGTAGCGCAACACCCTCTTCGCTGCAGCCATGTGCTCCGGTCTGTGTCTCCCAGGAGCAACATAGCGTGCGAGAATGCTAAGAGGGTATGCAAGGTCAGGTCGAGTGCAGGTCATCAGGTACATGAGGCAGCCAACAAGCTCTGGGTACGGGCCACTCGACTCTACAGACTCATCCGAAGGCAGAGCTGAGAGCGAGTGGCGAGTAGGCAGAGGAGTGGCCTGAGGTGAGGAGTACGTGAAGCCGAAGCGCTGAAGGAACTGCTGCACCATGTGTGACTGAGTCAGGGTAATGGTGCGGCGTGCTCTGTCCCGGGTGATCTGCAAGCCAAGGTAGCTGCGCAGTTCACCCAGGTCTGTGCACGTGTGTCTCTTCTGCAGCTCGGACTTCACGTGGGCGAGTCAAGTAGTGTCAGCTGTGGCAAAGACCAAGTCGTCGACGTACACGAGGATGTAGAACGGCGGCAAAGAAGTGTCGGTGTGCAGAAACAGCGACGGGTCGGCAGTAGAGGGAGCAAACCCAAGAGCCGCAAGCGTAGTCCT